TGGGGAAAACAGCCCCAGCTCATCACTCAGTTTGAGCAGAGCCGATGTGGTGCTTGAGAGACCCGAGAGCTGAGTCTGGCTCAGCCGAGGAAGAACTGTTCGGCATCATTTGGGATGAATGAGTGTGCAGGAGGGATCTGGTCAGCCATCATGGAACAGAGTGGCAGAAGGGTCACTCTGTCTGGAGAGTGGAATCTTGGGAGCCCAGGTGGCAGAAGTGAGCCAAGACTGGGCAACACCACAATTGAAACAAAAAGAGCTAGAGGAGGAATTAAGAGTATAAGGGATGGATTCTTCTGGAAAGAAGTGTTCACAGCTGATGTTTTTGAGAGAAGGAACTGGAATGACTGACATGAGCAGCTGGAAGGGGACAAGGAGTTCACCTCATGCATATAAAATTCACATCTGCTCAAAACAGTAATTCTGATGAGCTTATGTAAATTCTCCAAATCTTTACTTCTCTCCCGATTTTGGATTTCTGGGGAGGATTTTCCATTTTACTTTGCATTTGTCGTATGGCAGTATAAAAAATAAGGGCACCTATGGTCTACAAGTCACCCTGACATTATGCTAAGTTCTTGGCAGATTTGCACTATCACAATAACATGTACTAGTATATGGAATGCTAGTCTATTAACTTCCTTCTAAATACAAGCAGAGGTCAGACACTTAAAAGTGTTCAGTAGAGTCTGGCTAGTGCATGGTGTTCTTGAGGTATTTTAGGACAGGATCATTTTTAGACCACCAAGCATGGAAGAGATTCAAATCAAAGTATAACTGACAGTGGACAAAAACAAAACAAAACAAAACACCGCCACCACTATGGCGATAGCTTTGAGGGAGACTATCGTAGTTATTTCTCTTGTGATGGAAATATGTAACAAAAGCCACTTAGGGAGGGAGAGTTTCTTTGGTTCACAGTTCAAGGGGACACAGTCCATCATGGTGGAAGTCGTAGCAACAGGAATGTGAGGCAGCTGGTCTTCCACAGTCAGAAGACTAGAGCTCAACGCTGGTGTTCAGCTGTCTTCCTCCCTCTTATTCAGCTCGGGATCCCAGACTATACAATAGTGCTATCCACGTTTAGAGTGGCTCTTCCTACCTCCGTTAATCCACCCTAGACAGGCTCAGAGGCTTGCCTGCTAGGCAACCCTAGAGTCTATCAAGCTGACAATATTAAGCGTCATGAAGACAAAAGCATGTCTTTCAGTATAGGCTACTAAACACAGGACAGACTAATCTTCATATAAGGGAACCTTCTAAATTTCCTTCCCAGTCCTGCAGTCTAGAAACCTGTATGTGTGCTATGACAATGGTTTTCTAGCAGAAGTCAGTATCTTAAAATGCAAGGTGCTAGTTCTAGCAGAGGTACAGAGTAAACTCTGAAAAATCTCACAAATAGCAGGGAGGAGGGGGAACCGACCCCTCTGTCTGGAACAGGACCTGGTCTCCAATACCCATCTCTTTTGTCATCTCTTTTGGGTCCTTTGATTCTAACATTGCCATGGCATGGAATAGCTGCATCTTCCCTCCAATTGGATGCAAATATCCATCCTGAAGGTCAAGCTTGAAAGAAAGTCCAGACTCCACACAGACTTTCCCAGACCACACCCAGGCTATACTGATTGGACCCCTTCTTTGCCGTCTCACATTCCTCTGGTGTTCTGAGTCTATAACCTAGCATTTAATGACATACTGTTTGATATATTTTTCTAGTTCACGTATGCAAGCATTATACTCCTAGTCTTACACAGCTGAGCCTACCAGGAGGGTCTGGAATAGGATGGTCTAGGTAGAGACAGCCCAAGTATCAGAAGAAATCCAACTTCCCTTCCAATCTAATGATAAAAGAAAAAAATCGTGGTCTCCATGGCATCCAATGAGAAAGAGGAAACAGAAGAAAGCGGAAAGAGGTGACATGTCATCATAACAAGCGCCCACATCGGCCGAGGAGGCTGACACTCCCACTGCAGAGCACCCAGCGGGATCTTCTCGGCCCCCTTCCCTGTGGCTCACCTCACTTTCTGAATTCACACCCCTGCCTACTACTGTCACTGTGCCCTTTGCACAGTTCCAACTTGCCCTACAGCAATTGTGACATTTTAGTGGTGGGTGAGGCGACTCCTCTGTGGAGGGTGTCTCATTTGAGAGTGCAGTTTTTGGAAGAAAGACACCATTTAACAAGAAGAACACTATTCTTTTGACAGCCCCATGGAACTGGGAAAATGAGTTAGAAACAGAAAAGTCAAGTTCAGCCCCGGTACCAGTCCTTGGGAGGCACGGAAGTACAGCATCCTGTCTCAAGACAGCTACCATCCTTCACTAGGATCAAGTCATTTCACATTTTCAATATGAATATAACAGCTTGCTTTTTTGGAATAACAGAGAAGGAAGTAAAATAAGGAGTAAGATTTTCGAAAAAAAATTATTCTTTTAAAAAAGTAATTATCTATTTTCGACAGTGTTTCTCTGTTTCCTTAACTTGCAACAATTGGGATACAGACATGACTCAAATGACTAACTCTCCGGAAGGGATTCTTTTAAGATGACTTCGGGATAACATGCTTGAGTAGAAAGGTTTTAGGACCTTTCTGTTTGTGTTTTAAGACAAAGTTTCTCTGTGTAGCCTTGGCTGTCCTGGAACTCTCTGTAGAGCAGGCTGGTTTTGAACTCACAGAGATCCACCTGCCTCTGCCTCCTGAGCACTAGGGCTAAAGGAGTGTACCATCACTGCCCAGTAAGCTTTAGAATCTTAAGTAACCACTGTAGATGAAGAACTTTCTAGTAATGAGCCAAAGTTCCACATAACACAGGTAACAACTTCACACACACACACACACACACACACACACACACACACAAATGTACAGAGTTGGGGAGAGAGATAGATGATAGATATATGATAGATAAGTAGATAATAGATGGATAGACAATAGATGAATGGATGATAGATGGATATATGATAGAGATCAGAAAATAATGAATAACTCCCATCACATTGAAGAGCTTAAAGTACTAGAGATCAGAGCATAAATGTCCCCCTCTGGTGTCAGCATTCAAGTTTACTCAACTAGAAATTATTCCTAACAAGAAAAAATACACAAGAGAAAGAAACCCCAGGCTTGCCATGAGTTTGTCTTTTGAGCCTGCCTAGCATCGTGCCGGCTATGGGGAAGAAAGACCATAAAGTTGCCTTTCCTTTGGAGTTCCCCTTATGGGGACATGCAGACTTCTGAAATAACATAATTTATTTCCCATCATGGATGCTGTGTCTCTCAAAATATGTCACTTTAGGGGGTATGCAATCACTTCACAACGAAGCGATCTAGAAGATGCTCCCAAGGAACTTGGAGTGGGGAGCAGAATTGCTACCGTTCCCTGAAAAGCAAGTGAAGCCTGACAATGTTGACTATTGGGAGCTTCTCGTTTAAATGTATGAGCAGAAGTGAATGTTTGTCTCACTAGTTAAGATCTTCCCTCCTGGTAGCACAACTCAATATCCCAACCCTGCCCTCTGTAAGGTGCCCTCAGAGATGGTGACAGTTAGACAAATCTGAAGTAAAATTACAGGCCAGGAGGTGAGACTGAGCATTTGCCTGGGTCCCAACACTGGGTGGAGAAGTGACTTTGGTCTCTTCCCACCCGAGTCTCTGTCATTGAGCGGCTGTGGGGAGAACGACATCCTCTCAATTCCGGCAGAATGCATGTCTTCTCATATGGCTGAGCTAAGGGTGAAGCTATCTGGTCCAGTGTATGGGTCTGGCAAGGGAGCACCTTGTGCTGAGTGGAGGAGGCAGGAAGCAAGGCTACCTTCAGACCGAATATTCTGAGGTGCTGGAGAGGGAATCTCAACAGTTTTTCCACCTCTAACTCTCAGACAAATCCCAAAGCATGGTAGGACGCAGGCAGCTAGTGAGGGCCACCTGTACCCCAAACCTAGCTGTACCTGTGCAGGTGACAGCTTTGGTTGGATAAGCAAGGCCAGCTTGAGTTCCTGATGATGTGACATACTCCAAAGAGGCAAACCTCACGCCACTGTGAGTTCTCATGTCTGCTGATCTCAAGTTACTCTTTCTCGATTGTTCATTGAAGACTGTTAGACGAGTTTGAACTTAGAAGCTTAAGCTAATAAAAATTAATTGTACTTTTAACCAATAAACATATATGTATATATACATATGTATGTAGATAGAAGATAGATTTTAGACAGACAGACAGACAGACAGAGATACATCATCAAAGATACGGAGCTAGGTTCTGACAGCACCATCCATCTTACTGTGAGACAGGGTCTCACTACAAAGCTCAGGCTGACCTTAAATTCACCACTCTACTGCCTCAGCTTCCTAAGTGCTGGATTTACAGGTGTATCCCACCACACCTAGCTCAGCACTAGTTATTTTCAAATCATATAAACAAGTCTAATGATGTCTTTAACAAATAGAGAAAAAGGATAATCTAAAGATATGTTTTCTTATAATGCAACAGACCAACAATATGAGGAAAAGTTAATTTATTGTTCTCAAATAATATTATCTTTAATTATTGCCTATTGTTATGAACTGACTTTGTTTCCTTAGGACCTTGGAATATGATCTTATTTGGAAATGGGTATTTCAGCTGAACCTAATGGGGCAGGCACCGCCATACTGATATGCTAACAGACAGGAAACTTGAGCACACACAGGAAGAGTACTGCAGGAAGAAGGCATTAATTGGGGTGATGCATCTGCACACCTTGGGCAGTCGAGATTTCTGGTAAGCATCAAGAGCTCGAGGAGAGGCCTAGGGCAGACTCCCCCTCACTGCCAACACCTAGGGTTTGGACGTTCATTGACTAGGATAGGGACAATTTCTGTTGTTGAGGCCTTGTAGTACTTTGGTGTGCTATGTGGCCCTAGCCATACTCAAGGAGAAAGAGAGAAACACTGTCATGACTGACTTATTCTGGAGGCCAATTACATGACGGACTTAGGCCAGGGGGCAGCGCTGCTTCTTACTGTCAGTTCCTGGGCAGCAGAGTTTGGCTTCTGGATGTTGATCTCAATGCCGCTGCTGCCTCGCTTCACTTGCACAGGAGAGCCATGTACTGTGACTGCACCTTCAAACATCTGGGACGTGGCTAAGGAAGGGCCAGGGGCCACCGTGGGCCCTTCCTTTTCCTTTTCTCCCTCATCTCCATGGGCCATTTCTCCATTCATGCTGATTTTCCCATCCACCTGTAAAGGCCAGGATGAACAAGAAAACATGCATTTCTGCAACCAAAGATGATAACCAAACACACATTTTGAATTGCCTGAAAGAATTCTCTGCGTATATTCCTATCTCAAAAAGGAATCAGGCCTCTCCAGTGTTTTAATGGGTTCTAGAAGTCAGTTTTCCGCCTGTGTCATCTGTAAGGGTGTCTCTTGGAAGATGTCAGTTGCATTACAACTGGATGACACTTCATGCTCATCTGATTCATGGCATGCTTTCATTTGAGGGTATAGAAAAATCAAGGAATCTTAAACACATGCCATGTAATTTTCAATTTAAGTTGTGATGGCAATTCTACAACTCAATTTTACTTCCTGGTTAGCATATTAATGAAGCGGGGACCGATCAAAAACATTTTACAGGTAATCTTGTGGTGGAAAGATTAGAAGATGGGTTTTTTTTTTTTTTGTAAAGATGTCATGGAGGGAAAGGATTCTGGTATGTAATATTACATTAAATCCCATTTTCTATTTAATTTTATATTTTTCCTTATTAAGAAAAAAGTTCATGCTCACTAAAATGTGTTTGTTTTACACTCCATATTTAGAAAAGGCAGCAAGAGAGGGGGTTCTCTGGTCTATAGAGACCTCCTTCTTGATGTTTGAAGCTGATTATCTGTGGTGAGACAACCTATGATCCAATTCTGACTCTACCCCTCAGCAGCTATGCAATCTCCAGTATTTCTGACTCTCTGTGTAAAAATGCAGATTTTGACTTGACCTTCCTCATAGTGCTGCTGTGGAGTTATACAACTAAGGCGTGCTTAGGACTTGGAGTAACACCTCACACACCCCTGGCTATTCTTGGTGGGTCTTCTAAAATCTTCTTAATGAAACAACAGAAGGTTGGACATTAGTTGTGGTTAGTTTACCTTGTGCTAACTGGCCATTGTGTTTTATTACTTGTCACCTCTAGGAAATTTATAACACAATTCAGCACACATGCATGAATATGATTGTCTTTATTGAGTGTGATTCCTGTGTCTTTTTCTATTGTACTTTTGTCTGCTTCATTTTAAAAAATGATTCCAAATCATTAAATTGACAATAATCCAACAGCAGGTTTGAAACAAGACCGTTTTATGAAAACCAAACCAATGCTGAATTGCATCCCTTGATCTTCTTTTATTACCTTTTACTTCTACAAATATGCTACAGATTATTTATTCGTTTATCTTGCTGTTGTGGGCACATGTACACACACATGCATGTATGCATATTTTTCTAAGCTGCCTGGCCTCTCTAATCTTGTAACAACTGTCCTATTTATGTTACTTTGACAAGGACTGTTCATTCATTTTTGAGAAAGTGTCTTATTGTGGGCACAGACTCCCATTCCCCTACACATAGTAAAGGAGAGGCAGGCTACCAAACAAAAATGACAAGGTTTTCTCAGAGCCTAAATTTTTCCATAAATTCTTCTGCCTTAATCATTATGTGATCATGTTGTACCATTTACATACATGAGGGAAAGTGGACATCTAAATGTTATCAGATGCCTTGATATCCAGTTATATAAATGTATTCCCACCTGTATTATACCATCCATCATCCGGGCCCCAGGTGAAGGAAGGTACTCGAATACTTGGACCACTGAGGACACTGCTAGGCATACATGTACACATGTGCATGCGTGTGTATGCTTGTGTGTGTGTGTGTGTGTGTGTGTGTGTGTGCGCGCGCACATGCGTGTTTTGTAAATAAGTCTTCAGCTTCTGAATCTCAGGAAGAATTAAGTTGTTTACTTTTGCTGAAAGACTACCATATCCCAGGTATCTATGCAGGCTCTTAGGATGGAGCCATGGAAATAAAGATACAGCTCTTACCCTGTAAGGGACAAACATTGTAACTCAATCTGGATGAAATGGCCAGACAATTGCCCTTTTTAAGCTAGCAAAGTTTAAGATACGGATTTTAAAGATATATTTAGATATAGGTAAACCTAAGTCAGAAGGTAGGTTTGGGATCTCTCTGAGTCCAGTAATGGAAGGCCCCTGCATTCACTCTCAGCTGAGTTATGCAAACTTCACACCAGTCTTAATGGCAACAACTCCTGGTGATGATCTCCACTTTCAACATCTATCACAAAACACATGCAGTGTGCAAGGACAAGGTGAACTGATTTTTTCTTTGGAGTCGAAGGAGCTTAAGATACAGGATGAATGCTCCCCCACAATATAGGTGGGCGCTGGAATATGAGCAAGTGAAAATACGTTTGGTTGCCTAAGAGTCTTTGGTTCTTGAAAATGATTTTATATATATTTTTAATAATACAGCCATTTTCTGCCCAAGAAAAACTATCTGATCTGACAATGAACACACCCCATGCTGCCAAGCAACTCTTTAGATATAGTGTCAATTTCTTCCTTAAGATGCAGCTGTGTATTTTTCTATTTAAACTAAAAGCAAATACACTTTGAGTTTGCTGTGCATCCAGATAACTTTAGATTTGGGTTATTGCTAAATAGGATTTGCTTACACTGATCTAAGAGAAACCACATCATCAATAAACCAGGAAATAGGTCTTGCTCATGGGGAAGGCTTGTCAATCAGATTGAGTCCAGTCCAATAAGAGTAACAACAGTACTGAGAGGAACGCCCATCCCTTAAGTATCTGAAAACCCAGTCTCCTGAACTATAAACTATTGTCAGTGTTAACTGTGTTTGGCTTTTGTTAGATAAAAATTATCACATTTTTTTTCGAGTCAGTAGGCTTCTTTCCACAAACTACCCGGAGTTTAGTTTCCATTTTCCTCTCAAAGAATTCATCCTACCTTAAAAGTCTTCAGAACCTCTTGAGAACTTTTGGGCTGGGAGTAAGGCTTGGGTGTCAGCATAGGCACTGCATTGGGAGTGATGAGTTTGCTTGGAGACTCACTGCCGCCTGCCGTGCTGGTCCCTGGAACACTGGTGCGAGCAATGGTGGTTTCAACTGTGGCAGTGAACTTGGGTGGCGGCAGTGACTGCTGCCGTAAGTATCTCATGGGGCTGGGGTCATTCGGGAAGGAGGATAAGTTTGGCTCTGTTGAATGGCTTCTTTCCAGAATTTTTGGCATCTCCAAGCGTTCGAGCACGGCCTCACTGATGGTGAACCTCTCAATGTACTGTTGGAGGATCCCCTCTGCCTCTTCCTGCGACCGTGCATTCTTATATGCCTCGTGCAGCTCCCTCTCTCTCCGCTCTCTGCAGGATGGGACATGGGAGGAAGAGCAATAAACAGCTAGGAACGTTGCAGAGATTCCCACCAAGGCAGAGTAAAACCAAACTATAAATAGTAGCACTGGAGCTTAGAAAAAGCACAGCTAGGTACCATTATACCCTAACAACAGAAAGACCCACTTTTCTTGAACAATCTCTCTGTAAGTTTTGATGCTTTTCCTTCGTTCACTTGTTCCGTCTTCTCCAGACATCAGCTTCTCCATCTTTTTCCTTTCTTCCTCTTTCTTGATTAAGTCCTGAGAAGCACTTCTTCTACGGCTCTTCCAACGAGCCAGGTCCTGGGCGGGGGGAGAGAGAGATACCATGTTCTTTCTAGGCCTTCACAGAATTCCCTCTCTGTGACTTACAGACCTGCAAGCACTGAGACATTATGCTGGGACACTTCCACACAATCCCAGGAAGGTCTGGTTGGGACAAGGATGCCTGGGAGGCAGGGAAAGAAAGTGCACGCTATCATTACCAGGGCAGCCACTTATTGAAACACTGGGGTGTGACATAAGCAATCATACGTCAGCTGCTTGGCAAATTTGAGAGAACAGTCCTACAAGGTAATAATCACAGAAAACTCCATCCTTCTCTATTTCCACCTCTGCACCGGAAACACACATCCTGGCAGCAGAACGGTAAGGATTCGCGTACAGTTTTCTCCTGCATGGGAGAAAAACGTGTGGCTTCGGAATTGTCTTGTGTGAATTACTCTGCTCCTGGGGAGTGGCCGAAACCTGTCCTACAGGTGGTTATAGCACAACGGTGACACTTCTGGCTCAGAGGGACAAGCTGGAGCTGTGGGGAACAGCCTGGTTCCATCTTGCTCATGTACTGTCTGTGTTTCCTGGCCTCTCTGAACGCATTTTTATCTCTCTAAAATGTGGGTGGTTGTTCCAACTCTGCTTACAAGTCTTGGGGTCCTCTGCTTACACATCTTGGGGTTCGATGTGACAACACACTTAGGCGCTAGGCACACAGACATACTGCCATTACACTGTGTCAACTTGGGAGAAATTAACTTTTTGACTAACGGTGGAGTCAGCCTTGCAATAGGGACCTACTGCCCTGTGAGAAACGAATAGGATCCTCTCTCCCTGCTAAGCCCAGGCTCTCCCTGCTGTAGCTTTTACTCTCAAGCACACCCTCTGCAAGCTCTCACCAGTCACTGGCACCCTCTTTTCCTGGTTTGGGTCTTACTCACTAGCTACGGAACTTTGGGCAGTGACTTAGCTGGGCTAGGATTATATCTGTGGGTGCTGGAGGCTAACCATTGTTAGTACACTGGGTTACTAAATGGGCTGGATGAATTACCCAGTGCCAAAGCATCGAGAACAGTGCCTGCTACTGGTACAATTAAAGCTGATGGGGCAGTCATCGTAGCCCCCCAACAGTCTAAATATAGATTATTAAAAGGCAGTATACCACAGCTCTGCGCTTAGCCTAGCCGTCTGCCTCCCATCCTTTCTCTTTGTGACCAAGCTGTGGCCCTGAGTACCTGCTGATACACACCAGGGTCAGTTTCTCCTCTCTCCACATTTCTACAGACCCCTCCTTTAATCTTCCCGGGTCAGGTCCCTCTGTAATACTGGCGCGGCCCTCCCCAGCAGGGCTTTGAAGTCCAAGTCTACCCTCCCAGCCCGGTGGTCGACTGGGTCCCTCCCCAGCTGCCCGCGGCCTTGGCCCGAACTCACATCTTGCCATTTGTCGTCCTCTTCCCTCAACTGGTTATTTATCAGCTGCAGCTGCTCCTGGCGGGCCCTGCTGTGCGGCAGCACCGCTGCCTCCTCCTCACACCGCATGTCAAACATACTCGTGCTCCTGATGCGGAGAGAGCAAAAACAAAAAGCAGGCAGGGTGAGCGCGGGCGGCCGGCTCCTGTGGCCACTGCGCGTCGCTGCCGGCTGGGGTCGCCGCCGGGCTGAGAGCCGCCTCTTCACTCTGCAGCAGCGGGAAGCAGTCACCGGCAGCACAGCCTGGAGGGGGGGATGTCTTTGTCCTCATTGATGGCCCTGAATGGAGGCAGCTTTCTAGAAAGGAGCCAGAAAGGGGCTGGGAGAAAGCATCTGAAGGCCAGCACTCTCCTTTAAAGGTATATAATTTAGGGAGACCGGCACGTTCCATTGCAGCGGAACTTCACTACACTTCATGAACAGAGAGGGCTTGCCTGATTCACACGCCCAGAGACAATTTCTTCACTTTCAAAAAAGCTTAGGGCCTCAAGATTAAGACACCCACTGCTGCATATTTAAGTTGATGCTGATACTGGGTGTGATGTGTTTATTTATTTATTTATTTATTTATTTTATTTGATTTTTTTTTGGTTTTACGAGACAGGGTTTCTCTGTATTGTTTTGGAGGCTTTCGGTCCAGCCTGGCCTCGAACTCACAGACATCCGCCTGCCTCTACCTCCCGAGTGCTGGGATTAAAGGCATGCGCCACCAACGCCCGGCTCTTTTTCTTTTCTATATACAATTATGTAATTGATGGTGCATCTTGGAATCAAGAAAATAAGGCACTTTGTAATAAGAGGAGAGAGAAACATATCAATCAGGGTACACTTTGTACCCTGATGTGTTCACAATGGTTTCAGTTTGTTCTTGTCAGGATTTTTAACATTTACTTTAGAATTTAAAGGGAAAGGCAGGCAATGAAGAGGAGCAAACCATCCAGCTGCGCATGCCTGCGGTGGACAAATGCTGACTAAGACTCTCAGCAGACCTGCTAAGAGCAAGCATTGGAGCAATGGGACACTCACAAGTAGAGACCAAACGAAAGCCTCCTCCCCTCCCTTAGAGAAACTACAGGGTCTGAGGATCACAGGGATTGCCTACACAAGAAGCTGAGCAATGGAGAAACCTTCCAAGTCCCCTAGGTGTGAAAGACAGCATCCATCCTCTTTTGAAGCTAGCATAACACCCAGGAACAACAGCAGCAAAAAAAAAAAAAAAAAAAAAGCCATGCGCTTGGCAGCCCACTTATTCCAGACACCATCAGGGACAGCAGCAGCCCTGCTGGACGAGTCTGCATCCATGGCTGGGTTCCTTGCCCCTTTCTCCAGGTGCTGGACATTTGAAATCGAATCTGAGACCTAGAAACTTGAAGACTATCTTCCTCCAGAGTGTTCTAGGACTCCAACTGCAGAGACTTAGTTTTGAATCTGAGGCTTCTGTTAGTGCGGGGGTTAAGGTGGGTATGGTGTGGTGTGTGGGGGTGTGTGGGGATGGGGGTGGGGTTGATGAAGCCTAGAGAGAAGCTGCTGTTGCCTTCTCTGTTTGCAGTGCTGGTTCCCAAAGCTGTGCCTTGTAGAAAAATAAACTCAAAGGGGAAAGGGGCTGTGATCTTCTCCAGCTATTTTATACTACTTATTAATAATCAAGAAAAGTTTGGGAATTTACAGCGTTAAGTAGAAAAGTCTACCTCCCCTTTTTAGCTTTAAGATACAAATTCACCTAAGTAGAACTTCTAGAAATAGATAGAAACTCTCATACACCTTTCTAGTTAAAGGGAGGAGGGATGAGGAAAATTTTACCTTTAAAATAGCCAATCCAGCCAGTTGTTTTTAAGGCAAATTACAATTTACACTAAGACCTTGGATGTATAAATGTCTCTATCTTGCACACCAAGCACTAACAGTAGAGAGAGGGGAAGCCATTGACATTGCTGCCTGTGAGTTCTAAGGGCAGAATTCCGGGTTGATCATAATAGGTAGCTATGCAGTGGCTTCCGCAGGCGTGGGTAGGAAGTTGCCTGCTTCTCCAAGGTGTGAGATTCAGCCACTCACTCCCTGTTCTTGGAGGGATGAGAGGCCTCCACAGCTGTCTTCCTCAGCCTCCAGGCTCTGACTTACCCCAGCCCAAACGTGGCCAAAGGCCAGATAATAAAGTGCAACTCTGTGTGCCCCGAGGTTTTTGTGTTTTTAAAAAAGAAACACCAACAACTTGCCAAAAAAGAAAACAGCAAAACTGTGACATTTTGCCATTTATTTAAAAAAAAAAAAGAACTGAAAAAGTTGAAAACTGACAATACCGAAAATGGGCTGAGTCATCATTTAGAAGCCATTCTTCAGTGCAGAGGTTGAATTTCATGCCTGCATGAAGAAGTGTGGCTCTGGATATGGGATTTGGCAGAGATGGGTGATAAGTCCTGGAGAGATCCAGCCTCCAGAGTATTGTGACTTGGACTACACCTGGCCTCAGGGCCAATGCTGATGCCCAGGGCTGTTGGGAAGCAGGTTGTGGACAGGAGATCCCAAGACTCAGCTGGGAGCAAGCTAACACTTTTGAGAAATGGGATTGACTTTCCTCTAGCGGCATCTGGCAATGGTTTCTGAGGCAAGTCTGAGCTAAGAAAATTCAGAATAAAATGCCTCATGGTGCTCAAGATGCAGGCTCCTCTGGCAGAGGCATGTTGAGAGAAGAGGGAAGGCAAGTTGAAGAAAGTGAAAATTAAACTTACAGAGACACTCTTAACTGGCCAGAAGGTGGAGATTTTGCTGTTTCTGTGGTAGGTTAACCCTGACTTACATTTCATTAAGACACATTGCGTTTTTTTGATTGTGCTATATCTTAAGAATGTGTCAATTATTTTAAGTGTAGTTTATGTCAGTAATTGCCTTTAAAGAGTTTGGAAAAGGGGGAGGAGAAAGGAATTAAGAACAGTACACATCTCTATTTTAAAAATTCACTCTTAGCATCACCTTTGATTTTGTTCCCCAAGTGACTTCATGTCATTCACTCATGTCTGTTCTAAGCAGTTGATTTGGCACTTTGCATATTCTCAAATAAAACCTGTGCACAAGAAGTTCCTTTCCCTCTTCTTGGTCCACCCGGACAGTTTATAAACACGAAAGAAGGGAGCCCTGAGCCCTGTCCCTTTAAACGGTCACAACTTTTTCTGTGGCCAAGGTTTCAGAGGCAAGCATGGGGAAGAGCTAAACTCTTTTGAATGTAGCTTCCTTCCCTTCACTTTTTAGGCTTCCCCCAAGATCTACTTTGGGAAAATTGCATCACGGCTCTTCGTCAGTTAAGAATAAGTCCATTCTATCACAATGTTTCTGTTCACCGGGTCAGAGTAGTGTTTTGCCTGTCAATTTCATGTCATTCTCTTGTCAGGGATGTTAAATATTGCCACTGTGGGATTCAAGAGTAATAACCAGGCCCCTGTTTTACAGACTGCTTAGCTCCATGCAGTCAGTCAAGAACAGGATGAATTTCATTTTTGAGGCATGGAGGTTGTCTCCCTCCTCCTTTGCTTAAATACCATTACTGCGTCATCAGTAGAAATGACATCTGTGGGTTCTATACCCTATTTAAACTTCTCTCTGCGATGTGGACCTTGACTCAGGAGAACAGGCAGTGTTCACCCTGCTGGTAATGGCGCTGTCTCTGTTGGGCCTCACAATGCTTTTGTGTGATGGCTGTTGGAATGAAATATTAAATCCTGTTCCTTCTAAGACCAAATACTCAGACCTAAGAAGGATATTATTCTGAAAAACCCTTCTGTCTTGTATGTCTTGTGCAGAGTGATCTGCTTACAGGAAAACCGGTTTGGGTACAGAGTTTGTAAAGTCACAGACGAGACAGTTAAGATTCTTCTCAAACTGGAATGTGAGGTGCTGAGTGGGGCAGAGACCTCTGTTCGGGAAGGAAAGCAAGAGGAACCCAGGTCCTGTTTTATGCCCTTGACCCCTTGCTATGCTGTGGAACTTGAACAAAACCCCAATGTTTGGGTCTTAAGTATCCCACAGTTTGTGTGACTCCAACCTGGTAGGAACTGGGGCTTCTGAATCTATAATTAGTGGTTAGGATTTATTTTCTTAGTTTGGAAAAAAAGAATGTGACTGTAGGAATGACTACTTCATTGTTTATGCTAAGTCCCAGCGCATAAGGAGTTAAATTGCAAAACCCATAACACCCCTTCCCTAATTCCAATAGTTTCATGACTTCCTAATTCAGAAAGGGTACCAACTGTCCAAATCGTAAGAGCGACTTGAGCATGTCCAGCTACGAGAAACAAAAAGCAAAGCTGAAGCGTCGGCTAAATATTAGCATCATGCTTAAGTTGCTTTCTCACTCAACCCCCCCCCCCCCCCACACACAGAGAACCCATTCTGCCTTGTGACCCCCACGTACTCTGCTGTGGACTGGGCTCACTATGCAGCTCTCTGCTGCATCCGGTGCATGCCAATTAGTGGTAAGTACTGGAAGCATGCACTTTAGGCTAGCGATTAGTGTAATCCTATGAATGCGATGCCACTTACTCTGCGCCATCTGACACAGGAGTTCTCGAACCGTATCTACAAGACCAAATTAAAAAAAAAAAAAGAAATTAGAGACTGGAAGCGTGTGGATGATGACGCGACCAACCTGAAAAACCAAACGGTGGGAGAATGGAACCATGTATACAAAACCTTTTTTTGCTGGTCCTGCTGAAAGAGAAATGTCGCTACACAGTTAGCAGTATGCATTAGTTACTGAAAAATTAAAGCCTTGATATTTCCAAAGGGCATAAAGCCCATGCTAAAACCCAGAAGAGAAATCCAATCATCCCATGCTGCCCACAAAGAAAAACCCTATCCAATGTAAACACCAAGAGGCTTAGGTGAACCTCTGGTGTTCGGGAAAGGCAGCTTAAAACACAAGCACACTCTGGTTAGCCGTTCGCAAACAGTTAAACTGCGCATGCCCCTGTGCTGGTGGTAATGGACTGTAATGGGTGTGCGTGCGTCCTCACTCAGCTGACCTGATGTGTTAATGCATCTGCACAGACAACATCAAAGACTGATTCTACTGTTTCCTCAGAGTGAAAGCAGAACTTCAGCCAGAACCCCAATCAGTACCTTCAGTCTGCATTTGACAAAAACCACAATTCCTAGAAAACGGGTAGTCTTAATCAAAGCCAGACTGAGGCTAACCCACAACTGGAAAGACCAAAGGTTTCCCTAATCTGTTCTATTCTTCTGATGATTTGGGTTTATAAAGCTGTACCCCCTGTGATAGGTTAGGTCTAAATGCATCTGCATAGCGGAAAGGACTTGAAGAAGAGAACACGGTCACATGGAAGCTCATATCAGCATCAACAACTCCATGAGCCTCCCTTCAGCAAGGGTGAGAGTTTAAAGGCACCGTCCTTTCCTGCCCCCAAAAGGCTACTCACTTCGGCATTCTGAGTGTGGATAAAGAACTGCTGCTGTAAGGGAAATCTATCTTGCTTCAAGCTTCCCAGAAACTACACCTCAGAATTGTCAGCAAATTACCTTGTTCTTATCTGGTAATTTCTGAAGGTTATATACATACATACATACAATTTAAATTACCATATAATGTGCACACATGGATGTGCGTGCACACCTACCCCCACACTCCTTTCTCCCATTTTCATCATTCTAGAACATTCTAATTCATTGATGACTATTATTTTGTTTACAGGGAAGGTAAACCACATGTAGCTAAACCCCCAGATTTCTGCTGGAACAGCCACAAGCAAACCAAGGAAAGGGCTGTGAGGTGCCACCTCTGTCACCTCTGTTGACGGAAGACTCATTCTGTTCTTCAGGAGCCCTTCCAGAAGGTGCTAGGTTAAGTCTCAGTGTGCCCCAAATGCACAACTGTGAAGCAGGTGATGAGGAATTCCTCCCACCAGCACGAGCAGCATCAATCCTGAAGCCTGGGCACCTAGTTTTTAGTTAGTAAAAAAGTCTGTCAGAATACACATATTCAAATGTGGAGCTTGCCAAACCATCTTTGGAAGAGATGCTGTTCCGGAGGGATGATCAACGGGGAAATAACTGACTAGCAGTTGTGTGGTTTATGTCACTATTTGAATATGCAATTAGCGTTTGATTGAAGTATGACACAATTCAGACAGTGAACTTGTGCACACACAGTCTCGCCCTAGCTAACATTTCTATGGTGTTAGCTCCAGGAAATGTCTGAATTCCAACTGTTTCTTCACAGAACAATTAACATCATTCATGGGCATCTCTGCAGATAAACAGATTCCTACAGAATTCTAAGTCTCACTGGGTAAGAAGTTGCCTGATGGTCTTCCCTCAGCAGTGGCTGGGAGGGTGCCCTTGAGGGGTATTTCAGTTATCAAAGAGCTCCCCTCACTCATAGGAGACCCTTAAATGCAAAGTAGGCTGTGGGGTACAGAACCCACAACTGTGCAGGACTTGGAATCAGCAACCTACCAGAAGAGTCAGGTTATCACGATGTCCTACCTGAGGGCAGGGCTAACAGAAAGAAGCCATATGCTGACTGATTATGTTCATACAACTCCCGGCAGTAGCAGAGCATCTCAGAAGCCACAATTACGCAGTGTGAGATCCGGGCACTCCAAACTAATTTGAAGTGAGAGTTGACCATGGCTTCACCACTCACCTAGGACGAGCACTCAGCCTTGTGTTTTGCACACAGTTGTTACTCAGTACATTTTTGTTAAAAGGAAACACAAATTCCCACAGTGTGTGTTGGCTCAATCAAGAAGCATGCCATGGGCTGGGAGATGGCTCAGCGGGTAGAGGGGCTTGCCACTAACGCTGTCATAAAGTTAATGGCTCTTTCCACTCACACTATTTGTCCTAATATGAACTAGTGGCAGACAGAAGTGGTAAGAATTCACCAGGTTTCCGCGACTCTTCCTGTGACTCGTGTAGGGGAAAGTGGTTTTCTACTAGGAGCTAAGTTCAAATCTTGGTGCTTTAATTCTGGGCTATGTCCCCAAGTTTGGTTTCCCATCTGCAATACAAATCCGTACTCTCAATGTTTGTGTGTGAAAACCAGGAATGCACCCAGAATGCATCCAGCCTCCAGCCTGCAGGCCCCTCCTCCATCTTTCTTGTCATTCTGGTTTGCTCTACGGCAGCCCATGGACCCAGAATAAAGCATCAGGTTGGGACATCAGGAGGTGACAATGGAGGACACTCAGTCACTTTGTCCTTACGCAGTGTCAACCTGGGAGCCATGTGGGACCCAATCACTTAACTTCTCTCCCTGTCATGTTTCTCATTTCCGAAATGAGCAAATCTCCACTGTGATTTTTCCAGAGGGGAGCTGGAGAGGGAACAGACACTCTGAGGAGGATACAGCCTATTCCGCAGCTATGGTGAAAAGCATAGCGATTGCACCTGCTCCCTGGACATCATTGTCATAAGATTCCACTACTGGTATTATTTGACCCAGGAAACCTTGGGCTAAATTCAGCTTATAAACATGGCTAGGATACTTATTTTTAAAACCTGGGTTAGTTAATGCTCTTCCTCGCCCCCACTGTGCCCCTGACCCAGTGCCATCAAGGGCTTTTGAGAATCAGAGTGCCAGCACTTTGTTTTATGCTGAGCTTAAGAGACAGGCAAAGCACTTCTCTCTCATTGCCCAACATTGGGTAGGTATACCACACTTAAACACACACATCCCATATATATATATGCATATACATTATAATAACATATATTATTAGTCTTATTAAATGATAACAGCAGCTTCCATACATAGGACCGTGAACTCCAGGATCTTAAATCAAGTCAGAAAGTGGATAGAAATCCTGCCACCAGGTGGCAGTGAGGTTGGCTAATATTGGAAACAATGCAAGTTTTATAAATGTTGTTCGTCCTCCTTGGCCTGAAGTCCATAAAACCAGGTTGGTTATAAAGTCTGACCCTTTTGCCAAAGGCTCCTGCGTGAGCCAGGAAGAAACAAGAGTTTTTCACTTATCGGCCCACAAGATGAAGATCAGAAAGAGCGGTTAAGTGGGTAAACTCATTATTCAACTACGCTTCATTCCTGCTTACATGCAAAAGAAGAAACACCCTGGATCCATTGGGTTAATCATTCCATTTCTTCAGGCAGAAACAGGTGAGTGGCTTTGACACACCATGATGCATTAGTAATACACTAAAAGCATGTGCTAAGGCCCCAACTGGAGAATTAAGTGGCAAGGGCGCAGGATAATCAGACCTTTGATTATTCCTGGGCATGCAGACTCCTACACTTCCTGTCACTGTGCACAGGAACTAGATTGGTTTGGATCTGGGATGTCTAGGGGCCACCGCGGTTCTCCTGCTCATCATATTATCTTGTCATGAATCAGCCATCTTGTTCTGGCCTTTTAGTCCACAGCCACTCCAGGAAGGAGCTGTTTTCATCTCTGACTTCACTTCTGTTCCCAAAGGCTCCCACTTGGAGGCCAGAGGACATGCTTCAGGGCAACATTTGGTGCAGCCAGTTAGATACCCATCTACTGCCAAAGGAATTCAATAGCATTACTCACTGACACTATCAAGACGCAAGTGCACGGAGATGGAGCAGCTGCGTAGGAAATCCCCCTTTTATTTCGACAAGGCCTCTGTCACACAGTTGGAACTTGGAAAAGATTCCCATCCTACTTTTCACAATTGTCGAGGAAGGAATCAAGCCAGTCCCAGCCACATGCAAAGGCTAAAATCTCCATCCAAGGGGGGCTCCAGGAGCACAGCTCCAATCCTAAAGTGGATGGGCACATCCCTTTGAGTGACTTTACTCCCCACTGATGCAGTCACCGAGGGCACACAGGATGCTCAGCTCATATCTAGGCACACACCAGCCACACACAGCAGAGGCAGCACAACACGTAAGGCAGGCAGGAGGCTCACAGGGGTCCACCGCATCCCTCTGGTCTTTCCACTCCTGGCAGCATCTCAGGCTCTTTAGAAATAACTTCTTCATTTTGTTCTCTGCTATCCTGTGGCAGCTGTGTGGGTGTAACTAGAGCCAAAGAGGACAGTTTTGTTATGGGAAAAAAAGCTTCCCCCAAAGCCTGCTTGCCTGTAACCCATCACCTCTGTGAGGCAGGACATGCTGGGCCTCACCTTCCTCTGTCTCTGGATTGTTGCTGTGAATGCAGACCTGCTCTTCCTGAGACTCCAGCACGGGCGCCAGCCATGGGACCTTTCTGAGGCAGTCCTCTGTGCCATAATGCACTATCCTAATGTTAACCAAGGAGCACGGCGATAGGAGGCAAAAGGAAGAGAGTTATGAAAGGAGGCTGGGAGACTAAGAGTGATCATCAGCTGTCATTCCATGGGCTCGTTAGTAAAGGTGACATAATCAGATTTAGATGGGAGGATGTGAGTTCTCCAGAGGCCTAAAACACACCGAGGGGGTCTGGTGTGACCTACTCACTGCAGGGCGGAGCGGGTCTGGTGTGACCTACTCACTGCAGGGCGGAGTGATGGCCTGTGTGCACCTGAAGACTCGAGGCTGCATTTCTCATGTAGTTTCCTGCCTCATCTTTCCCTCACCATGTGTCCTAACACATTCATATGTGCAGCCTTCCCCCTTCTGTGGTGTCAACCAGTCTGGAGCTCAAGAGCTTGCCCTCCCTGCAGGTCATGGACCACCTCCCACTCCTTTGGTTCTCAAGGACAAAGTATTGGGAGGAATGCTATGTTTTCTTCCCCCATGAAGAACTTCCCATGGCTCCTACCGAGCAGGTGGACTGGAGTTTCTAGGAGAAGCAGGATAATTAGAAATGTTCTATTCTGCCTAAGAGAAGGGAGACCAGATGATAAGCCTGAACCGGCCAAACAGGACTTCAGATGGCCTCCAGGGAAGAGGTGGGCTGAATCTTGTTCCAGTCCTGATTTACTAGAGACATTGAAAGCTTGGGGGAGGGGAGAGCCTCTTTTTAGTGGGTCTGCTTAGGTGTTGAAAACCGAGTTCATGATGCTCACAACGGAGACTTTATAACTGTGGGGCAGGACAGGGGGATGTTGTTACATGAGCCAAGTTTTATGTATGTAGAAGACACTTGGTGGTATCATTATGATAGTCCATCTATCGTTTCAAGTCATTCAACTAATAAAATGACGCTCAATGGTTAGGCCAAAAGGAATGTCTGTAGAGATTACTGGCCCTCTCAAGCACTGATTCCCATGACAACAGACTGGAAATAGACACCTGCCATTAACACATGTGCTTTCCCAATGATGGACCTCCAACACCATTTTCCTGCTGTCATGTAGGAGTTTATCAAGTTTATGTCATCTCTGGAGGTTTGTGTCATGTCACTCATTAAGCTCTTGGTGTTTTGTTGGTTGGTTTTGTTTAATTTTGTTTTATTTGGGGGTCTAGCACATGCTATGCATACGCCCTACCACAGAGCTACATAAGTAGCTCCAGACAACTTTAAAAGCAGCATTTGACTCCCATGCAGATCTCTTTCACAGGAGGAAAAGAAAATACCTGCAGTCATTCTGTGGACTAAGCATTTGGTCTTCCTTTAAGTCAAAAGGAGCAGTAGAGGGAGGTGACACAGAGGGAGTCTGGCTTTGGCTGCTGTGACTGACAACCTTTGCATCGTCCCTAGGTCCCGTCTTGCCAATGCTGAGTCTCTTCCATGTTTGTTGGTCTATCTCTGTCACCGGCCCAAAGTGCACAAACTTTTGCCTGGGGCTGGCTTCTTTCTTATAGGCTCTTGCTTTACGGCTAGCAAAGTCATCTCGGATGGCAGTCTCTGCGCTGATTTCTGGTGAGGGCTCAGGGACACAGGCGTTCTGAGCATCTCCATCCCTGGTCAGAACCAGAAATCAGTTCCAGGGGATTCCAAGGCAAGGACAAATCAAGATGAGGTAGAAAAGACAAAACTAGATACATGAAACATACGACCATGGCTAGAACACAATGCCTTTCCCATCAACTACTCAAATGAAGAAATAACCACTGCTCTTGCTGTGGTAAATAGTGCGTTAAGTTTCTATTGTTTTCAAAGCATTAGTTCCAACACCATCAAAAAATCAAGTTCCAACTTTTAAGGCATTAGTTCCAACACCATCAAAAATCAAGTTGAAATTCTTTATAGTAAGCAGAATAAGTCTAGCAGAATAAATAACCATTTTGAGAAAGTCAGCTGGATAAAGAGGGTGTTTTCTGCTAACATGGCTTTTAGTATTAATGTTTCCTCTCAGGCAGAATATGCTCACTTCCAGACATTCTGTGTTGTGAGAGGTTCTCTTTCCAGCCATCAAAACAGAAAATGAAACCCAGATAAGCACTCAATTCTCTGAATGTTAAATCCTACTACTGTCTGGGGGTAAAACCATGACACACCTCATCTTTCCTGATACTTTCAATCTCTCCCACGTCTCCAGGTCAGCTTCTGTAATACTGGAGAGTTTGATGAAGCTTGGAGCCTCACGGTGAGGGGTATGTCTGCCCTGGATTCTTCTCTGGGCCAGGTCGTCCTTCTGAAGATCTGGTGCCTTCCTGAGATTCGTTTCCACTGAATCACTCTCCTGAATTCTCGTGACACAGGTCACCATTGTGTTTACCTCTTCTGCTTGGTCCTGGTCTCTGCTGATTTGATTCAGGCCCCCAAATTATTGTAGAAGGCACGTTTGAGGAAGGGGAGCAGACAAACAGAATGTCAAGCCTGGAAACTCAGAGGCTGAGGGCAGAGTGGACATCCTTTCCCTTTTTCAAAAAGGATTAAAAGAGCGTGGGCACCTACATAGGATGGGAGCTGGGGCCCTGCACACGCTAGGGAAGCGCTCTACCACTGAGCTATGTCTCCATTCCTTTGTGCTTCCCTTCCAATCCTGTAATTAGGCAGATTTTCTTCCTTCATCCATGAATGGCAGTGTCTAGCTTGTCTAGGAAAGAAAGCCAGGGCTGGCTAAAAGATGGCTGAGAATGCCTATGAGATTTTAGTTTCCTACACTATTCAAATCATGACAATGAATTCTAGTTCTCTGATTGAATCTCTCAGCCCTCTTAGAATGCTTTTTACTTCATCAGTAAAGTCAGTAATGAGCTTGGCATGATGCAAACTCTAGGGTTACTTTGGAGATAGCTGGAACACGGTTCAAACGGGAAACATCTCGTTGATTATGAATGGAAAGTTTCAACATTCAGCCTTACTCTGTTTCACAGCATTAATCTGGGTTGACTACTGTAAGCATGAGGAAGAGAGAGTATACACTTTTTTCTCTGGGTAGTAACTATTTACTGTCCTGAATGCTGAACTGAATTGTTCTACTGAATTAAATGCAGTTCGACCATATACTTAAACAGTCTGTCACAATGAAAGTCTTTCACTTGAGTGTATCAAGCATAGTGGTGCATATCTATCTGTAATCCTAGTATTTGGGGGATGGAGACAAGAGAACAGGAGTTCAAGGTTAGCCTCAGCTTGCAAGTTCCAGGCCCAGCCTGGGCTACACAAAATCCTATGTCCAAAGTAAAGCAAAAACACATAATAGCAAACACCAACTGTTTACCACGTTAAGTAGTTTTGCTTATAGATTGGCTTTTAATTCAATGAAATGCAAAAGTGATAATGATATTCTTAGTTTCACAGACCTCAACTCTCTAAAATGATGGGCAAAAAAATAGTAAGATGTGAACTCCGTTTTTGATATAAGGAAAACTGACAATATGATAACTTCTTCAGGGTGAAATTCTACAAATAGACACTTTGACTGTTGCCACCCCTTTCTTTGTACAAAAATCACTGGCCAGATCCCTCATGACCATAATTTTCATGCCTGAGTTTGCTTCAGTGTGTATGAGCTGACCACCTCTGATCTAAAACACTCTAGATAAGCAGTGTATGGGATTCTAGATTTTTAACATTTTGGAATCTTTTGCACATTCACAATGACGTATTTTGGGGATAGGACTCAAGTCTAAACATGAATTTCGTTTATGATCCATATACATGCTATAGATATGCCCCAAAGGTGATCTGTATACAATATTTTTAGTGCACCTGCATTTTGACTGTGACCTGTCATGTGAAGTCAGGTGTGGGATTTTCCACTTTTGGTATGATGTCTGTTCTTAAATGTTTTTGGATTTTGGGGCATTTGAACTAAGATGATAGGAGAAAGACTGGAGTAGGAAATTCACTTGACAATTATTCCTGTGATAGTACCCATGAAGCGTGTTATATGTCTGAGAAGGTGTGTGTGTGTGTGTGCCTACTCATTAATGTGCGTGCGTGCATGCATACATGTGTACATATGTGATGTGTGTGTTCCTGTATGTGAACACATTTGCTCATGTGCCATGACACATATGTGGAGGCCAGCAGACAACCTCAGATGTTGAGCTTCACTTTCTCCCTTGTTGGAGACCCTCTCTTGTTTACTGCTATATGCTAGACTAGCTGCCTTGCAAGCTTCTGACATTTCTCTTGTCTCCATCTCCCACTGCCTGGTAGACAGGAGTGCATTGGGATCACAGACACTGGTGCTACTGCACCTGGGATCCTATGTGGGTTCTGGGAATCTAAACTCCAGTAATTAAACTTGCATGACAGTTACTGTACCTACTGAGCTATCTATCTAGCTCCTGCTTTGTTTCTGATGAGAAATAGCTACCATTATTTGTCCAAGTGATCTTGCTTGTGTGAGAGACAAAAGAACAAGCTTTCTCTCCTTCTGTCTAAAAAGTTGTTAATACAAGGGACTAATAGGAGGGTAACGGTTGTTTTCTGCCCCCTTTGAATGGAGTGGCCTTGAATGTTGGTTGTTCTCTGAAAGGCAGCTGAACACGTCTAGGTGACTACTGATGCAAACTTACAACACCCCGGGGGCCGAAAAGAGAGGGATGGGGACAGTGTACAGATCATCTCTGCTTAATTAAGATCTTTCTCGTATAGACACACACGGAATGCACACCTTTTATATTCTACATTTTTCTTGTCTGACGGTCCCCATGAGAGCTGTTTGCTGCCACCCATCTTCTCTACATCTTTTTTCTGGTAAGGTCCATACAGGAGCTGGTTAAGTGGCACTACCGGCTTGCTTTGGTTCATCCTTGCCCTCCTTGCAGCAAAGTCATCTTTCTCAAGGTCAGGCAGTCGACAGGCAGCTTCGTCTTCTGACTCTGAGTCTTTGCTGTGTTGGGTCAGGAAAGGGTTTTCCTTCCGAAGGATGATATCCCGAGTAGCTTCTTTCTCATCACTCAATTGCTTTTGACTGGTAGAGCAAAACCAAATGGAACTCCACATGTGATCAGATAAAAAAAAGCCTTTAACTCCCCATCTCCAGCAATTGTACTGTTATAAAACAGTCCTCTCGATGCTGTTAGTTCAATGGGCATCACCTCATTATTTTTAGTAGAGAGTTGCAGGGCAGTTAGGAGAGGCTTGAATTCAGCCAGATACAAACACTAAAAAGTCATGTAATTTGCAGGACTCCCATGAGCGTCCATAAAAGCAAAATCCTAAATGGCTCGGAAAGCAACAATCCAAACTCTTTTTGGGAAACCGGGAAACGGGTAGGGAGCTCTTTACTGCCCCCTTTCTTCATCAGTACATTTGCAATGCACACAGTAGGCACTCAGTTTGGTTTGGGCTGAAAGAGCAAAAGAATGAGCCCGAGAGATGAATCTGGAAGAAAACTCATGAGCGAAGCCATGTGCTAGAACACAGAACATGTGCCCACTCTAAAGCCCAAGGAAGGTCTTTCTGTACCCAACTGAGCTGACCGGAGACCCATGGGATGAATTAAAACCACGCAGAGGATGACATAACAAGCTGATCAAGCCCTGCATTCCCCCACCAGCACCTGCTTCCTCCCCTCCAGTCCCTAGGCTCTCCACCTCCTAGGTCTGCCTCCTTTCTATTGCTGGAAGTGCAGGACAGCATGGTAAAGGCATTCTACCAAATTATTGCTACAGATGATTTCCATTTTCAAAGGAGTCTTGAAGCCCCTTAAGCCCTGAAGCTTTAAACTGCTAACAGCAATTTAATAGTGACATGTCAGGCAGCAAGCCTTAGGACTTCTCTCATTTTTTTCCTTTTGTCCTGGGATGGGTTGTAGGCAAGACAACAATTGTGCTCATGTGTCATTCAAAGAAAATCCCGTCCCTACATCCATTTAAAAGACCAGTTCCATTTTTAAGTCACAACATCTGTGGGAACCTTAATTCTCCCGTTTATTGTATTCTCAGTTCATAAAGATGACAAGCAAATAAAAACAATCTGATTTCTACAAAAGCACACCTACTTTGTACGGCTTTTAGAAAGATGATTAAAAATTCTTGGGCTGAGGACATAGCAGAAGAGCAAATCAAAATAACTGGATTTCTAAAAAATGTGTACCTGTTTTGTATGGGCTTTATGAGAGGTGATGCGAAGTCCCTGAACAGAGAACAGAGCTTAGTGGCAGAGCCTATGGCACGCAAACCAGAGTTCAATCAGTAGTATACTGACCTTAAAACTAAATGTGTTTAAGGTCAGGCAAGATGGCTCAGTGGGTGAAGGGGCTTGCTGCCCAGTGTGACAACTTTCTGATTCTTGGAACCATGTGGCAGGTGAACTTACTCCCACAATTGTTCTCTGACCTTCACATGTACACTGTAGCACACTGACATGAACACACACACACACACACACACACACACACACACGCACACACGCACTCACGCACACATATGCACGCACATGCTTGCAAACACACACACACAAAATAAAGTCTCAAAATATTTAAAGACTAAATTCTTCATCATCAAAGGACAAGCTCGTGTCTAGAATGAAGACAGGAGGAATTATTAATGTGGCTAAAGACAGAACCAGCAACCAGTCTACTCTGGTTGATCAGCTGGTCCACTGGCTGTTGTTTTGTACTATAATGTTGCTAAGGAGGTCATTATTATGTAGAGACAGCAGATCTCCTTCTGTCTGAGATTTGAAAAACCAAAATAGGTTTCACAACACCTTTCCACCATTAGCCACTGTTCTCAATAAGATTTTAAAACAAATGTGTGAGATGTTTTACTTCTTAAAAATATGTTAATTAAGGTATTGAATCCTGCTCTTAGAGTTGCACACCCGACTCTCAGTCTCCTGCCTAGTCCTTCCCCAAACTGTGTTCATTTTCTCCTCTTAAGTCCTTGGTCAACATTCTTGGCAAAGATCAATTTAGATTGGCCAACTATGGCTGTGAAGAATAGTTAGTAGAAAATGACAGACCATTGCATCTCTTCAGAGTTACTATGCAAAAGCAAATTGATTATAATGATGCTGGCCAGTAGATAATGGGAATACGCTGTGTGCTAGAATTCCTCCTAAGTAGTAATTCTAAAACTAAAACTGCATGGCCTATGGTATACACTTATCCTCATTTTATCAAGTAGAAAGTAAGATTAGGCCAAGAAATTTGCACAAGGTCAAAGAGCTAGTGCATAAATTCGAATACAAATTAAGGCAGGCTGAGGCCAGAGGGCCTGCTCTATGACAATGAATCACTGTGATACTGATTGGACAAACAACAATGCCAGGAACAGCTTTGAAAGCAGAGCATCATACCAAAAGAGAAAAAGGGAGGGGGCATTATCATTACCATGAGAACAGGAAAAAGGGAAGTAATTTGGTTACTAAATAAAGGGATTTTTGTGAGTTGTGCTTAGAATAGAGTTGTAAATTGCGCTGCACAGCAACACTGAGAGAATTGATGATAGTGGAATGCTAACTAATTGTACCTTACAACTTTGCTCAGCATTTAATATTTTACAAAGCCCTTTCTATAGGGAGCATCTCACATATTCTTGCACCCGTGTGTGGGGCAGATCATCAGTATGAACCAAGTCTAAGACTAAAATTCTTTCCACTTATTGACTGGGGGGGGGGCCTGGTCTTCATCTCTGAAAGAATTTGTTAAAAATAAAAAGTATGCATGTATGCAAATGACTCTGCCAATTTACAACGGCAATCTGAGCTGTGCGAATCTGGTACCTTATGCATCTTGCAAACCCAGCTGGGCTGCAAATTCCCCTACTGTTTCTGTTTAGGCTAACTGCCCAGTGTGGCAGGACTTGTTTCAAGTGATGTCCATTTAGATATGTGTGCTCCAGAGAAGAGACTGAATAAAGCGTCTCTATCAATGGCCACTTTAAGATGTGCCAGCTCAGAAATATCTTTACTCCAACTGGAAAACTGTTACTATGAGCAATTCTTGTTCATTGTATGAATTCTGTAAATTCAGAGCTTTGTGGCCATCTCAGAGAAATGAAAAAATATGTAAATTATTGGCTGGCACTACTGACCTCAAAATAAAAATGCACTGAAAGCAGATATGTAGAAGAATAGTCACAAGTATCTATGTACCAAGAATATTTCAATGACTTCTGTATTATTTAGTTCTTAAAGGCAGCTTATTGTTAAACTCTGTTATATTTTTAATTTTCAATAACTATGAGTCTGAGACACTGGTACACAGACTGATGACCAAGAGAACCCTACAAACCAGTAATTAGGATGTTTATTTTGCAGAGAATATTAAGGTCGCTAGCTGAAGTTTCACAGATGTAGTTAAGTAACTTTAAAGCGACCTACACAAGCAGCCAAGTCAGACTGTTCAGACTGCTAGGCTTGGTGATTGCTGGGTGGACATTTTTCACTAGAAGGAATACAATCCATATGTAATTTGAAATACTGAATTCTAGTGGGGTCAAAAGGCACAGGTCTACAGTCACAGCTACTTGGGAGGCTGGGTCAGGAAGATCACAAGTTGAAGACCTAGTTCCACTACAGAGAAATGCAGAGTCCAGTTTATAACCTGGCAACCCTGCTAGCCTCATCTTTAAAAAAAATAGGAATGCCATCATGATAAGGGAGATTACTCAATGCATAGGATAGGGCAGAGAAAATGTTTGTCTCAAAATTTCTAAGGTTTATATATTTCAAAGCAGATGAGATAATGATTAAAACTAGGGAAGGGAGAAAAGGGGAGTGGGGAGATAGCTCTGTAGGTGAGCCCTTGCTGTACAAGCAAGAGAACCTGACTTTAAATTTGCAGCACCCACTTAAGGGGAGTGGCTGCACTTGTATCTATAATCTCTGTGCTGGGGGCAGGGGCAAAGGCAATGGCATCACTGGGACTTGTTGGCCACTAGCCCAGCTCCAGATTCAATCAGAGACCCTGCACCAAGGGATTAAGGTAGAGGCTGATAGAGCAACATAAATGATGTCCTCCTCTAGCCTCCGCATGTTCAAGAGCACAAATACGCACATGTAACACACACACACAGCATAAATAAACTAAGGAAGAGTTGGCATTCTCTTTCACCCCGTTTACTTGGCAATGAGCAGCCAGCTTGGCTTGGCACTGAGACTGTTCTATTGAAAGAAACTGGGCTCTCCAGAAAGGCCTGTTCGTTCTCTTGGGAATGTCATGGGCAACAGCAGAAACCTCTCTGTTACCCTGTCTCCAGGCACGGCAGACACATTCAGAGTCACAAAGGTCATGCCTGAGTCTGTCTGGTCCCTAGACTGGGGGATCTGTGCAGAAATCAGCAGGGAGCCAGCATCTGGTACAAAGGGAAGAGTATGTGTCTGGCACTGGCTACATCTGCTGTTTCTCTGAAGATTTCTAAAATGTCTATTGTCCCTTGGAGGGTTGTCCCCTCTGTCATTAATTACCATGTGGTTGAGAAGATTCACAGACCAACAGAAAATACTGGGTGATGAAACACATGCAAATAATTAGAAGAGAACTACAGTCACATGAGACCTATAATTCAGTTAAAAAAATTTACTTCTCCAATGGGAAGCACCAAATAAGAGAGCCCAAATCTCTATGGTATTTTAATTTAGGGGGAAGTGAATCTTGGTTCTTATTTTACCCTCCTAAAAACAGAAATCTGGCTTCTTTGGCAGAATCTTAGGGGGAAGGGTAATCAAGTTAACATGGTCATAAAATAAAATAGAAGAAAAAGCAGTTTATATACTTTTTTTAAAAACCGATGGAAACTCTAATAAATCTTAACTGCCACACATTTATTGAGAAGCCCTACTTTCTGCTCCTTGATGCTCAGATACATCCTGATTTATTTTTTACAGGCAATATGGGTCTTATTGGCTTCTGACCTCATGTGAAAATGGAATGACATGCACCTCTGCTGTGTGTATATATTGGCTTAAAAGCAATGCACAGACATATGTGAGGGTCCTAGGGAAGGAGACAAAAAAATGGTCTGGCTAGAAAGGTTGTCCCCCCACCCCCGCACTGTGTACGCCCTTTCTTGTACAGCACATGCCCGACAAACAGCCCTCAAGAATTATCTTTAGCTTTTCTTGCTGGGTCCAAAAATGTGATGGCCAGAATCCACTTGGATGTCAAGAGACTTGAGGTCAAACGCTCTAAGAGACATTGGAGTAGTTCAATGAGTTAGATTCTCACTTTCCACACACCAAGAGTTCCCTGCCCCACGATTTGCATTTCATTCCAGTTAAACAACGTTTTGCCACAGTAAAAGCAGGATCCCAAGTGTGGATAAACTTAGAATGACTTTCAGCTCTCCTTGCTTTGTATAAAGTTAAGTGACAAAAATGTAGACATGCTGGGCTGGTGGCATGGGCGTTATGTGGCTTTAGGATTGAGCTAGCAGCTGAAAACTGTCTACCAAATAAACTCTTGGTGACTGGAGCAGATAAATGGTTCTTCTATTGGGGACGTTCTCTAGGAATATTTATAGCTGCCTCCATATGATTTTAAATGCTGTGTGACAAAGTCTGAGGTGTGACGACATTAACAAACTCCTGCTTCCTAGTCAACATGGATGGCCCAGATAAGAATTAAATCAGACAGCTGGGCAGTGGTGGCGCACACCTTTAATCCCAGCACTCGGGAGGCAGAGGCAGGCAGATCTCTGTGAGTTCGAGGCCGGGCTGGACCGACAGCCTCCAAAACAATACAGAGAAACCCTGTCTCGTAAAACCAAAAAAAAAAAAAAAAAAAAGAATTAAATCAAATAACACCAATCATGCAAGGAAGCAAAAATGACACTAAATATAGTGGCTCCCACCAGAATCACATTTTAAACCGTGACTCCATGTTTGTACACTGAATGAGAACTGTTATCAAAGAACTCAATATTTGATTATAAAATAGCCTTCCCACCAAGTGGCACAAGTCACTTATGGAACTCCCAACCTGTGTACAACTTTGTGCTCTGTCATCCTTTTCCTGTGTGTGCCCAATAAGCACCTTGCATTTCCTTGATGACCCTCTACTGCTCTTCCAAAGGCTCCAAAGACAAAGATTTTTCTCGATGAATTTTAGCTAAAGGACTTCACAGATATGATAAGGTTAAGGCATATGCATCAGAGATGTAGAAATTTGATTTTGCATGTTTGTGCGCTTATCTGTATAACTTAGTAATACTCTAATCATGTTCTAAGTTTAAAGAGGGGAGTCAGCCAAGTTTGAAAAATGGTTCATGGTGAGGGGTTGCTATTCATTTCTCTAGTCAGCTCATAGCTTGGCCTCTGAGATATAGAGATGCTTGAAGGACACAGGGAAAGTATATTTCAAACACAATCAAAGAATATTTGGATATTCAGAAGATACAGTATGATATTATTCTTCATTATTTCAGAGACCTCCTTATAACACAGGCAGACTTTACATCAGAATTTCTAGAAACACATGTTTAGTGTAGGCAAATTAACTGTGGGATATCACAAACAGGGAAGGAATATATTCTTTGTGTGTGTGTATGTTTTTTAAATCAACACAAAGCTACCCTACAACTAAATCTATAAAAGCCAACACTAAGAACTAGACCACGGAAATAGCCACACAAGGAGCACATAGAGAAATAACACTCATGGGAGGAAGATGCAATACTATGGTCAAAGTACCTGAATCCAGCTGCCAGGTTAGCTATGACCAGTTCTACAGGTCACTCACTATCCTTGTATGCTCTGGATGCAGACGGCCACCAGAACCTCCACTGCCAGGTCAGCTATGGCCAGCTCTACAGGTCACTCACTATCCTTGTATATTCTGAATACAGACTGTCACCAGAACCTCCACTGGCTCATATGTTTGTTGTTTTGATCTCTAGATAGTGGCACTGTTTTGGGAGATGGGACCTAGGATCTGACTGGCAGAGCTGAGTCACTGGGAACAAGCCTGTGGGTGGGGGGTTGTAACCTGGCCATATTGATCCATTCTCTACTGCCTGCCACAATAAAGCCAACTGCTTCACGCTCCCATCAAGATGACCATACTGCCCCCACCTCCACACTTTCTCTGACACAATGGACTAGAGTCCCCTGAGACTATGCGAAAATAAATAAATCACTCTCCCCTCAAATGGCTAAGGTAAGGCATTTTTTTTCACAGCACTAAGAAAAGTAATATAGTCACCCATCCTTTGTTTCTCCTTCTGAAAACAAATGAGTGTATTAGTGACCTTTTAGAATGAAAAGCAACAGCAAGTATGAAAGGAATTTCAAGTGTCAAATTGCTCTGAACATCAATTTGTTACATAAGTATTGGCTGCAAGATTATTTGTGAGGATCACTGTGGTTCATGTATAAAAATAAACAAACTTTCCAAGCTCCCAATAAAACTGTAGACCTGTAGAATGTCATGGCTTTGATTGTTAAGACACTTTCTCTCACCTACCCTATGAAGCTGTGATGAAGAGAAGTCACTGTTCCCTTCTTAGCTTTTGAATCACCATGCTTTAGAAAATACATTGACAAATCCAGTCCTCACTACTCCTTAAGAAAACAAGTGTATTTTTTGCAAGTCAGTTATTCTCTATGAATAGATGGTTCCCTATTTCAAGACACTGGACGTAGTCTAATGATGGATCTGTCACATGAGGTAATGAGCCATTTAGGAGTAGTATGAAAGTTAACAAGACACAAGCAATAGGAAAATAAAATGTTATTGCTAGGTAAATCCTGCAGCCCATAATAACCGACCACAGGGATGGGGTCTAATGAAGCACGGAGGAGCTCACACTTTATCTCCACTTTAACTAGCCAAGGACTTAGCAGAGACATGCCCCGAAGCCGAATATCTATTTCTATTCGTACAGAGCAGAGAAGAGTGATGCAATGGACACGTAGCAACTGGGGAAACAGGAAGAGAAGTCCAACTTGCTAGATGGGGTCCAAACCTGCGGGCATGCAGAAGGCCAGCCAGGCCAGCCTTTGGCTGGCAGAGCTAACCTGGCAAAGCGCTGGGCGGCAGGCATGACCTTGATCCCAGCTTGCTCTAGTCTTCTGCGCTTTTGGCTCTCCACAGCGTCTCTGTCTTCAGGAATGGCAGCCGGCACGGCAGCCTCATCCCCATGACCAGTGCAGGGCGGAGGTTCTAACCCAGGGTGAGGGCTGCTGGGGTTGTCTTCACCAGGGGACCCTGTTTCACTCCCCTCCTCCTCTATCGTTTCAGGATAACTAGTGAGTTGGACAACAGGGCTTACTAAGCTAATAGACAGGTCAGGGAACAGATGGACATTGCTTCCAAGACATTCTCTTATCGCTTTTCACTAAAAAATAAACAGTCACAGCTGGGAATGTGATCCTGCTCATGTGAGCCCAACTTAGTGCAGCTAATTAATACAATGCATTTCTCCTACATACTGATCAAGGACTCCTGCAAACTTGATATGGAAAACATTTTTTTTCTGTGCTGAAAAGGTAAAGTTCATTAGTTTTTATCCATAAGCAAAATTCTTAACAGAATATTTCCTCAGTGGATAATAAAGTGAGATATTAAAGTACTTATAAGATGACTAAAGACAGGGACTCTTTATCTTTTATATCTGGTCCCCAAATTCTAAAAGATAGCGCCTAGCACACAACTGATACTCAGCACTTAACAAATACTTTCAGAATAAACATGTACCTTAATGCAGAGATTAAGGGTATAGTTTCCATCTCTAAAAGAATGAGAAGCATGTCTTCTATTTATTCTAACCCTTGTCTACACTTGGTCCTCAAGCCCCGTGGTTGCCGTTCTCATCTCTGCTTGCTCTGATATGAATGCATCGAGGGTCTTTCTGTAACAGGCTCAGAAATGGGGCAGCCTCCACAGGAGAACACACGTGACACATGTATTTTCCATATTCTGTCAACAAGACTGGCCTCAGAGCATCTGCTCCTCAGCGAAGTGTTTCTTGGTGCTAGGTACCTTCATGAAATCGGTATTTTATGACAAGCCCTCTGGGATGCTCTGGCCACTGACCTTCCTTCACAATGGTGCATCTAAGTTCTGAAACCTCATTCCTACCTGAAGGGCCTTTCCCCGCCCAGGGGGGAGGTGGCCGTGCTCCAGCTTTTCCTGTATTCCTCCCGCTCAGCCTTCTTCTTCCTCAGAGGCGTGGGGACGTAGGCCGTCTGGTTGCTTTTGTTCGGGAGGTACTGGTTAAAAGGCACTGCAGACTTCGGCTCACCATGGGAAGTCCGCCGTGCAGACATATCATCTTTCTTCACATCCGGCAACTTCCGGTGTGGCAAGTCGGATTCCGAGTCGCTTCCTCTTCCTGGGAAAGAGAGGATGAATACTGGGAAAGTGTGTTGGGTTCGCAGAGACACCCGGTGACATCCCTATAGGATCAAGGGTAACTCTTGTGTGTTCTAGAATTCATACCTTGGGAAATGTCTAAATGAACCTCCTCTGGAAAAAGGCCTCCATTTCAATGAGGGAAGAACAAAAAACTACAAGCATTTTTTTTATTGTTGTTGTTGTTGGTTTTTTGTTCTTTGTGTTTGTTTTTTCTTTTTTTAAATAGAGGTAAGCTTAAATGTGCTGGGAATTACACATTTGTGTGGAATCGTTTGCCTGCCAGGGTTTGCACTTTGGCCACTCTCAAAAGAAAATCTCACCAGTTCCCCAATGGGGGTTTTACTGATCTCTAGCCAGAGTATACTGTGCTAGACCTTCTGACAAGTATGCGTTAGAAATTGTCTTCATGTATCTTTAACCCTGCCTCAGAACACGGAGAAGATGCAGATTATCTCATAGCAAAGACAGATAAGAATGGCAGAAGTTAGGAGAGTGACCAGTTGGACTTCACTGAGAGTTTACCTTCCAAGAGGTTACATCTTCTTTTACACGGTTTTCCCAGTTCCCTGAACTGGGGACTGACAGTCTTCTTCCTACGTCCCTAAACATGATCATGTCTTCCCTCCTGGTACATAGCTCTTTCTCCCTTTGTTTTGAAAACCAGCGCTGTTCAGTACACAGCCTCTAAGGCGCGCCATTGCAGCCAATGGGCAGCTCACACTCAGACACATACATGAATTAGTTTGGCTGAAAGAGTGTTTTGTTTTGAATGCAAAGGAACTCTGCTCTGCCAACATCAGCCTTGCTCCTAGGTCACAGCCCCAATAACTGTAACACATGCTTTTTGCCCAAGTCTTACGTTGTTAGATTTCCAAGGTCTATTAAAATGAAGCTATCATTAAGTCAAACACAATCATATGAGTAACTGCTACTTTGATGCTGGTTGAAAATTCGTAATCAGTGAATACGAGCATGACATCATTCTGACTATGTTGATAACAATGACATTTATGCTTAAGAAGAGAGCCAAGAGTTGGAACAAGGCAGAGCGGGTAGTGTGCAAGACCAGATCCCCTCATTTCCAGCTCTGCTATTCGTTAGTCTTGCTCACCTGACCATTAAAGTCTGCATTTTCTAAACTGTAAAGTGAGGGTAATAGCGCCATCTGCTTTATGGGGCGACAGCAAGGGCTGAATCCACCTACAACTACTGGTCCAGTGTCTGGCACCGAGTGTTTAACACTCGCTGCCTGCTGTTTCTGTTGTAACAGCTCTGGGTCCATCAGACATGAGCTGTGGCTTCCTAAGTTTTTCTCTAACACACTTGACTGTCCTCTCCTGTAACATTGGAATGAAAGGTTTACCCCAAAGATTAGATAATATAATGATGTTTAAGAGACCGTAAAGGTTAAAAGCACTGGCTGTGGACAAGTTGTTCATGGTGTGTGAAATATTCAGACTATGAATTATTCATGGCACTTATAGTCTCTCCTCTGAAATTTTGGCCATTTCCTGACTTTAGTCTTTGACTCATCACTTAGCCCCTTTACCCACCACAAGTCTTAACAAGTGTTATCTGTCAGTGCCAAAATAAAATGTTGCCTGTAAACAAATATGAACACACCTTGCCTTGCCAAGCACGTGGATTTGTTTGCCACTTGATAGTAGCCTCTCTTTATAAAGATAGACACAGGCTCAGGAAGCCATACCCCCCTACCCCCATGGCCGATTAGTGTGGGCTCAGGGAAACTGGATTCTGCTCTCCAGACACCCAAAGTTCTGTCCTGTAAGAATAGCACTCTGAGAAAAACGTCTTAAAGTGTCCCAATGAGGGGAAACGTTCTACTGTGCTGAATAAATGAAAAAAAGCAAATGAGTTTTCTGTCTACTATGACAGCTTAGTGATGGTTACAGTTGTCTTGGACCCCTCAACCTTTTGTCTAGGGGCCATAGTTCTGTATAATGTCCAAATACTATTAAAATATAGTGAAAGTCTCAAATTACCCTTCCAAACTTTCTTAACAGACATTTTAAGAAATGTTAACTTGCCAATGTCCCAGGGCTTAGATGTAAGGTGGGTAGCTTCATAGACATACAGCCAAGATGGCATTTTAGTTTCACTACATGCTAGCTCTGTGACACTGAGAGCTTAAATCCCATGTGCCCTAGGTTCCCATGGCCTATACAGAGATGACACTAGTGCTCGCCTGTGTTGTTGTCAGGATTCAATGAAGTGGCACAGAGGACCTCGGGAAAGCTGGCATGGTATGCCTAAGTAATCGTAAGGCTAGACCTGAGACACATTTTTATTTCACCTCATCCTGTGGACATGGAAATTTACTAGATTGGCTTCTCCCCAGATGTTCAAAGTTAGGAAAACATAACAAGGCACACGGTGCATTATTATTTTATCAAAGTCTCACCCTTCTTTTCCATGAGGCTGCCAGCAAGTAGAGCTATTCTGTTTACCTTACCCTCCTTCTCCACCCCCTCTTCCTTCCACATACTTGCTGCTAAATACCCCCAAATTACAAATACTTTGTCATTTTTCTAACACTTTATTTTTGCCTACTCTATTTCTATTTTATAACATCTTTAAAAAAACAAGCATACTGAATTAATACAATGAGTCATGTTTATGAAATATTACTAATTTACAAGGCACATGAGTGCAAGGTTGCATTTCCTGTCCAATGAAGTTTCCTGAGTGACCTCACAGGTGATGCTAGTTGAGGCTGAAGGTGGCACTTGGTACCTGTATGGCAAGACGAGATGGCTGAAGCAAGCCTGGGGACTTACAGCTTTCCTACCAGGAAACCATATCCAACTCAGAGTCATGGTGCTTCTGAACGTGGCTTGTCTCTTTTGAATTAATAACAAAGCTTAAGTCTTCCATATGGACCCAATATAAAGGCAAATAATTTTTTGGTAAAATTGCCCCTAATTGATTGTGAATGTTACGATAAAAAAATGTTAAGACATACCAAAAAAAAAAAAAAGTCTTCCTTACATGGAACTATTCATTAGAACTAGCAATCTTACTGGTTAGCATCATTCTAAAGGAACATACTAGAAAGGAAAATTAAGAAATGTTTTTTCTTTTAAAGCTTCCCTAGCTGGGCGGTGGTGGTACATGCCTTTAATCCCAGCACTCAGGAGGCAGAGGCAGGCAGATCTCTGTGAGTTCAAGACCAGCCCGGTCTGTAGAGCTAGTTCCAGGACAGCCTACAAAGCCCAGAGAAACCCTGTCTCAAAAAACAAAACAAAATAAAATTCTTCCTTAGGTCTTGATTAGTTTACAGGAAGATAAGCCTTAGGATATCAGATTGACTGGTAAAGCCTGTGGAAAGTGCCCAGTGAGGGGATTGGTAAGGCTGTAGTCTACATTGTTCATCTGATGGGGAAAGCATTTATATACAGTCTCTGGTTTATCAGTCTTAATTGCTACAACTAAGCTGTGCTTTGGGATGTTTTAGTATACTATTACTAATCACCATCTCAAATGCTTTCAAGATGCAGTTTAAACTCTGAATCCCTTGAAGCCAGTGACAGACTACAACATTCACAGTACCAATCATACAGACACACACACACACACACACACACACACACACACACACACACACACACACGAAAAAAAAGGTGAAAAAAGTCGTAATTTTTAGAAGTTAAAACAAACAACATGGGCAAAATAGTTTGGCTGAGATGGTGTTTGCAAAAGCAAACCCATGCTTGGGTTATACCAAAGCATAATTAGATCATAGACTTGGTATTTTAACTTCTAGTTCTGTGGGTGGTACTTAAGATGTCAAATAAAATTGCAGAAATATTTTTCAAGCAGCTCACAATGTACCATGGAATTCTTTAGGAGTCACACACTACGTGGCCCTGAGGCGAATCTGTCTGCTCTAAAGTGTGCATTCTGAGCAAACAGATTTGTTCAGTGGCTTTAGAATACAACTTCTATTCGGTAAAGAGAAAGTAGTCTGGGTAAATTAAAAATATCCATTTGGACCCATGCTTCTTGAGGCTGACACAGCTAAACCATTAGACTGACAATGATTTCTGACATTTAGAGGTGATGAGACAAAGACTTAAACTCCTAAGTACACATCTGTAAAATAAGGATTAGGGGTGTCTCCCAGCTCCGTGTAAGCATAAACTAAGATATGGCCAGACATCAACATCTATGTTGAAGATTAAATAAAATACTGCATGCTGAGTGTCTAGTCTAACTGATGCCCTGGACCTGTGAAACATTCACGGATCACAGTGGCTTGCATAGCTGGGAGCTTAGGGCAATGCTCAGTGGTACCGCACTCACCTAGAACTTACAAGGCCTAGAGTCAATCTCTAGTACTTCAGAAAGCAAACTAAAGAGCTACAGTAAAAATCTTATACAGAAAGCAATACTGTAGCCACAAAAGGTAATCTTGGTCTCAGACAGTAGAATATCCCAAAATATTGCAATCAATCAAGCAACATATGCCAAAATAGAAACAAAAAGAATCCTTGCTGTTTTTCTGCAAGTTTACACATGCAGAGTCAAGCCAGCTGCCCTCCTTAAAAAGCCCAAAGGCACAAGAGAACTAAACCAAGCAGCTCTTAGTAACAGTCACTGAACTCACATTAGGCTAATCAGGCTATAGGACCACACTTTTTTTTTTTTTGAGAAAATAATGATCATTCCATTATCAAATCGACAGGATTTACATAAAATTCAGCCTTGGGGGCCAACAGGCAGTCTGGCTAGGCATTATTCATTCATGGCAATTTGCTTTGAGCTAGCCCACCAGTCAGATGTGCTAAGCTTCAAATTGATTGATAAAACAGGTACTAATTAAGAGGGGCACAGCCCCAGCCCCTGCCCCCCCAACTTTAAGGATATAAAGAGCACGTCTAGTTTTCTGGAGAGCTGTTCCATTTTCACTTACATAGTGTGCTACTCACTAAACATTTCCCTTCCTTGTACCCACACTGTATAAACTTGAGTACACTTTAGGAGCTAATGGTCTGCACAGCAAGAATGATCTAACACATTTTCCAACAGAAGATACACTCACTGAGGCAGTGTTCAAATGAACTGCTGGCAAAGCCAATCAAAAATTCTGAAAGCCGTGAAAAACAACAGCCAAAGACCTTTTTTTTTTTTCTGTCCCCGTCTCTCCGTTTTATACAATTACCAGACTCCAGCCAGGTGGATAGGGAGACTGCCCTCCCAAGCACTCAACTCTCTAACTTTTACCCTGAAACTCCTGTTAATGTTTAACTCCAAGAAGCACAGTGTAGGAAGATCCAGCCTACCATCACTGCTTCCCCTGAGAACTACATCTGGTGAAGGTGTCTGCCGGGAGCGGGAGCCAAAAGAATCCAGGCTGTCGAAGGAGTCATCTCGGCCGTGGCGAGGAGGAGAGAGGGAATCGCTGCGCTCCGAATCCCAGCAGTCAATGTAGCCGCTGTCTCGGATACTGCGTTTAGGGCTCTCAATGTCATCAGTCTCCTGTCCCAAAATAAAACGGAAGAATTTCAGATATGACTGAAGCACACATCTACTATCCGACCTCCAGTGGTCCGCAAAGATACTTGCACAGGCAATCTGGTGTGGAAAAGTCGTGGCAGCGCGCTAACCAGACTAAAGAGTATCAACAGGTGATTACCCAATTCCTCAACATTTCTCTGCTGCATCCTTCCAATCAGAATATCATGTGCAACTTTTTTAAAAAAGCCCCAAGCAACTCACATTCCTTATTTTTTAAAAAAGTAATTAAATATAGAAAGTCACGAAGTTTGGATTCACAAGAATGCAATGATCATTGACAATAAAGACAAAACCTTTGACCTGTCTTTCAGAATCCATAACCGCATGTCTGTGGGACCAGTCCCTAGTTCGGCGCCACTGCCCAGGGTTGTGCTCTCTGGCAAATGCAGGCAGAGTCAGGGCTGTAAAATTCTGGAGCAGCGTGCTTCCATCTCCTGCTACCTTGCAGGGAAATTCCTGCTCTGAAAGCGAGCTGTCTTTCTGAGGCAAAAGTTAAAAAAAAAAAAAGCAATGAAAAATATGCAAAACGCTTTTCCTGATGCCTCAGAAGAATCCAGGCATGCACTCTTTCCTCGCCAGCTCTTGGCGTTGGGGGAGCTGCAGGCACTTGTGGCTGCCCCACATGTTCAGAGCGGGGAGAACAATGGCTGTCTTTGACAGCCTGTGATTATAAATTCTTTCCAGCACAAGCGGCACATACTAAAACACTGAAACTCCAGCAGCAGAAGAAAGGTCAGTCAAAACCATCCTCACCCTCGTATTATAATAAAAGCCTTGTTCCCGGCAGTGCCTTCGCATTCATTACAATAGTCCAGGCTGACGAAAACAAAAATAACTCCCGTCACTCAAAGATAAACCTCTGCTTAACATCCCCGAGACTGTCTCTAGAAATCGAGAATTTGGATCACACTGGCACAGGAGTTTGCGCTCACGGATAAAGAGTGGAATGTTGCCCCATAGATTTCCCGGGATGCACACGGAGGTCCCCCCTGCATTCCCAATGGAAAGGAAAAAAAAAATAAATCAGCATTCTCCATGTTTGCTGTTTGAGATGCTGGTCTATTCTGTCTGAGGTGCTCCTGGGAGCCCGTGCTTTGCAGGAAACATATTTGCTGGCTGCTTCTAACAATTATGCAGGGGGTGGGAGTGCTTCTGACCCATTCTCCACCCTAGGGAGATAGGCATGGGGAATGGGATGATTGTAATTCACAAGGCATACTTGGGTTTCCCATAAGGAGGAAGAGAGGACAAGAGGACAGGGGGCAGGGCTGGGAGGAAAGCCCTGAAGACCCAGCCAATTAATGCCCTGAAGACCCAGCCAATTAATGCCCTGAAGACCCAGCCAATTGCCTGGGTGAATCTAGCAATATGACACTCTAGGGCACTGGTTCTCAAATGCTGTGACCCTTTAATACACTCCCAACTATAAAATTATTTTGTTTCTACTTCATAACTGTAATTTTGCTACTGTCATGAGTTGTAATGTGAATACCTGACATGCAGGGTATCTGATGTGTGACCCCTGTAAAAAGGTCATATAACTCCCTGAGCAGGTTGAGAACCACAGGTTGAGAACCACCGGTTTAGGGTGAGGCAAAAATACCAGTTATGGAAAGTAAGGTTAATGACTTGCAGATCAAAAGTTAAACAGAATTTGGAACAAAATCCAGGCCTGGGAAGTTGAAAAAAAGAACTCATGACTCACTGAGAAATATAGACCTGAATTAGACAGAGGTTCAAATATAGCTTCCTTGGGAATGCAGTTATTATTATAAATTACTCATCGACCAAATGACTAAAATCTGAAGTTTACTTTTAGAGACCATTTACTATATGTCTGGGTCATGCTTTTTGCATATCATGTTATTTACCCCCATAACCAGCCAACGTGGTTAATAATATCCTTATTTTATAGAAGAGAAAAATAGGAATCAGAGAGTTACTTAGCCCTCACAGTAAATGATAAGTATTTAAAAATAAAACCTAAAACTTGATTTCTGGGGGTTGGCAAGATGGCTCAAGATAGGATGTTGCCTGCATCTTTGCAAAGTGAAAGCTGCCAATCTGAGTTATGTCTCCCAGTTAACTCTGTTTATGAGTAAATGACTGAAGGAGACATGTCACAGAAAAGATGCAAGTTAGGGTCATGGCTAAAAGCTTTGCTCTAGAAGTCATAATGGCTGGCTTTAAATCTTGCTAGCTATGTGATGGACAACTCATGTGGCCTCATGTGTCTTCCTCTATAAAATGGGACTTAGTAATGATACCCACCCAACAGGGCCTCTAGGACTATAAAACATGTGATACGTGGAAAGTATTCAGAACAGGGGATGATGCAAAAATAATGACTCTAAAAAGTATCAGCAATGGTTTTAGCTACTATTTCTTCAATAAGGCATATACATTTTAATATAGAAATTATGCAATATTTATATACTGGTGTCAAAGGCAACACTTTGCACACTGATCTGTTCTTTCTCTACTTATGTCTTGATGCCTTGCAAAAACAGACACTCAGGGGGTGGGGCCATTGGTTGCAGCTGGAAGTGACATTTTTGCAGACTGCTTGGTGCAACATGAAAAAACCGAATTTTCAAGAAAATAATATCAGAGAGGCTTTCCTTGAAGCCTGGGTCTTCCCCACACCTCCAACTGCAGAAGATTCAGAAAGAAAGAGGGTCAGTGTGTCTGTTCCTAGAGCTTCAGCAGCTTTCTCCCCATGCTCATGGGAAAAAGTAGAAAGCTTACCATGTTCATGACTATGTAGTAAACCAGTACTGAGTCTCCAGTAGGGAAATAAATGCCATGGACAGTCTGAAAAATGGGAAGTAGGTCACCGTGGCCATCCCTGGCCATGCTGGCTTCCCAGGAACACCATAGGTAAAGCAAAATATGTGGCTATCCACTGGACTTCCAGTTCTACGGGTTTCAATGAAGTCACCACCCCCTTTTGGGGGGAGGGTGCTATAAAATAAGGCTTTGGGAGAGGGTGGAGAATATAAATTAACAGACAGGTATGTCTAAGTCTCTCGTGGGGTCTAATTGTACTGTCTGTGCCTTTCCTCTGGAGCAGAGCACTCCTGTCAGAGTTCTCAAGAGAAGGCAGGGAGGACTGGAATCAATCCCTGCACCAACTGCTCACTCTTGCAGTGAAAGAGGGGTCATAAAGGGAATGGGAGCCACTAGCTTCCAGGAACTCTGGGCTTCAATAGTCTCCCTTCTTCCTAGTCCTCCTGTGAGTGTTACTGAGAGCCAGCAAGGGCCCGTGGATGACTGACAGTATCTAAGACGCTCCAGATGCCTTCTCTGGACAACTTAACATTTTTCTGCTTGCAGTGTGATTTATGGGGTGGCTGAGTGCTGCTCCAACACGTCTGAGGTTTAACTTCCCCAACATGATTGCCCATCCCTCACTCATCTCACGGGTTGTGGAAGCCATTCATTCCACTGATATTGCCCAAGTGCCTTCTAGGTAGTATTCTAGCCCCAGGAACACAGCATCATAAAAGTCAATCAACAAACACCTTGTTTGTAGGAACCTTGTGTTCTGATAGGGATACAAAATTAGGGAATGGGTAGGATGACAGTGGCTATTTTATGTACTGTCTCTCTTGCATTTGTTTGCCAGTCACATTTCCCCTTTTATTGATGACCTCACCTATTGGATCAGGAAGGGAGTAGGTCAGTCATTCTACTCCATACTACCCATGGACACAATGGCTAGTGTAGAACAGAACAGCCACTCCTTGGGATTATACCTCTGGGCTTAGAGGAAATACTCCCTTACCTTTCAAGGAACTAGAAGATCTTCCCTGGAGATGCTATTAGCCACATCCCTTTATGAGGGTTGGATTGCTTACAGGAAAGAGAATAAATTCCAGAAGACATGGGGGAATAAGAGTGAAGGTCACAGAGAAATAACCTACATTGCTCGCGACACTGAGAACACCAAGCTCCCTTCCATTCCAGAATTCTTATTAAGGGCTCTCTATATATTAGGTATAAAATATGTACTCTATAGTTACTGATTTTGCCCACATTTTCCCACTAGAAAAATCAGCATTAAAATTTCTAATTAGTCCCCTTTGAGGAAGACACAAATTTAATTTCAAATTTATTTCAGCTGGCCTCTGTACAAAGTGTTCAGTTGTCTCAGAAAATACCTCTACTTCTCGTCTAGTAAAATAAACATTTTATTTATTTATTTATTTATTTATTTATTTATTTATTTATTTTTGGTTTTTCGAGACAGGGTTTCTCTGTGGCTTTGGAGGCTGTCCTGGAACTCACTTTGTAGACCAGGCTGGCCTCGAACTCACGGAGATCCACCTGCCTCTGCCTCCCGAGTGCTAGGATTAAAGGCGTGCGCCACCAATGCCCGGCTTATTTTTTTTATAACTGAAGTAAAACCTTTCTTTTCCAAGTCTTTACTTGCAGATGGGTATAAATCTGTGACCAAGTCCAAGTCAATGAGATGTGAGTTGGGAGTTGTTATTGTCCATTTTCTTTTGGTAGAACAGAATGCCACAGACTAGATAATTTAAAAAGTATTTACATATCAAAGTTCCAAAGTCTGCTAAGTCCAACGTCACGGCGCTGGCATGGAGAAAGGCCTCCACAACATGGTAGAAGCCATTCTCAACCTAGAGCATGTGTGTGTGATGGACAGTTTGCCTTGATAACATGGCGGGGATAACAAACCCACTCTGGCGACCACAGCATCAATCCATTTGTATTCCCCATGGGCAAATAGCCTTGAGAGAATAACTCCTGTTACCACCACCACAGTTAATGTCCAGCATGAGTTTTATAGGGGGGCATTCAAACCACAGCAGGATATAGTGTGTAATTTTCTAAATGCGTGCTAAAGAATAGCCCCCTTTTCTGTTCCTCCTTCCTCCTGACTTGAATGTGGATGTGACAGAGAAGCCCGAGCAGCCGGCTTGAGCCAGCAGGGAGAAGCCTCAGGCTGAGAATGATGTCACAAGGGACAGAAGGGTCTGGGTTTTCTGGCATGGCCCTGGTGTAGAACCTCCCACACTAGCTCTGAACTACTTGCTCACATCCAAATCCCACTAACATGAGAAGAAATGAAATATTCCTTTCAACTGCTATTTTGAGTTTTTACACTGTGCAGTTGAACTCAATCATAAGAGAAACCATGGAAGAACGCAGGTCATTTGTAAAACACTGCCAGCATTTGGATAGACCAGTATCTTTCAGGTCATCTGTTCTCAAGCACAGCTACGACATGGGAGTACCTCAAGTGGCCACAATCGTGAAGAGCCATAGTTTGCCCAGCAGTGCCAACCCCTGCATCCTAGCCTGTGCCATCATCTACATTCCCTCAAAACAGAAGCAGCTGCTAATGTCAGGCTACTTCAAGGCAGCTGAAGGCATCGTCTCAGCAGGCAGGGAGCTAAAGCAGACTAGGTTCTTCCCCAGGCTACCAGCAGAGCTGTGGGACTGACATAGTTTTCAACAGGTGACCCACCTCCTATTACCCGAGTACAATTGAATATAGAAGCAACCATTTACACTGCCAACTCCCAATCAGCAAGGACACTCTGAATAGTTCCACCATGCAATAGACAGCCAAGGAAAGATACAATGTGTTGTGCTTACTGTATGGGCATATTTGTTTTATATGCCATGGTAAATACAAAGATCGTCTTTGGTTTTGTTTTTTAGTGTCAGGGATCAAACCCAGGGCCTAAAGCACACAGGCCAGTCCTCTACATGGAATACACAGCCAGTCCTGCTTTGTCCATTATAGATACATGAGTCAGACTGGCTTTGGGCAAATGCAGAGACTATTAGCTTTAAGGTAGTGATTCTCAGCCTTCCTAATGCTGTGACCCTTAAATACAGTCCCTCATGTTGTGGTGACTCCAACCATAAATTATCTCATTGCTACTTCATAACTGTAATTTTGCTACTCTTAGGAACCATAATGTAAATATCTGATACACAAGATACCTGATATACGACCCTGTGAAAGGGTCTAGATGCACAGATTGAGAACCACTGCTTTAAAAAAAAAGATCAAATTGTTAGAAAGTTGGAACAAACTCTTGCTTTTCAGAATTAAGTCACAAAGTTCTAAATATCCTGATAACTCTCTCTCTCTCTCTCTCTCTCTCTCTCTCTCTCTCTCTCTCTCTCTCTGAGTGTGTGTGTGTGTGTGTGTCTGTCTGTCTGTCTGTCTGTCTGTGTCTGTGTTATTTGGGCATATACTTGTTGTGTAAGCCAGTTCTCTCCTTCTACCATGTGGGTCTTAGGGATGGGACTCAGGTCACAAGGCTTGGTGGCAGCATCTTTGCCCACTGAGCCAGCTTGCTGGCCCTTTTGATACTTTCAGCTAGTCTGGTTGGGGGCCTCAATGATCTGTGCTCTGAGATGGCCCTGATCAAAACATATGAGTGATAACCGTAGGTGAGCCTTACTGCTTAGAGGCTTCTTGGCAGGGATTCTCCTGTGCAACGCTATGAACCAATATTTCGTATGAATTAACTATATTGCTGAGCCTTTAAAAGGCAGGGACGTGCAGAGCATTCCACTGCTTCCTTAACAAATTCTTACCTTCTGTTAGTCTTTCCCACAAACAAACAAACCAAGTTGTTAGTGCCATCCAATACTTTGTCAAATAAACACATCAAACTTTAAAACCACTTTTTGAGTTTCCAGATATGATGGTCACCAGACACACACAGTAGAAGAAATACTTCTAGCTTCTCAGAGCCTGTCCAGGGTGGGAGCCATGAAAAGGATGTGGCTGGCATCACCTCACCCACATCAAGGCCCTAACAGGCGAGCACAATGACCTTTAATCTGAAAGTGCAGGACTCCTGTTTGCTTTTGTATAATGCCACATTGTTTAATTCAATCATCTCAAGCCATAAGCTCCATGGTGTACCAAACCATACACCAACATACCAAACTCCTTCTTTTGAAACTACAGTTGGAGCCGGCTCAGATTTGCCCCTCACTGAAGAGTGCAAAGTATAAAACTTCAAGTGATGTGAGACTCAGGAGGCAATGGGCTCTGGGTAAGACAAACAACCCTTTTCTTGAGTGCATACCTTGGGTCAGTACAGTTCCACCATGCAAATGATAATTATCTTCATTTTAGCAAGGACTTTATTCATTCTATGTGTATGAGCGTTTTCTCTGCATGTATCCCCACAGGGGTCAGGGGTCAGGAGAGGGCATCATATCCCCTGGACCTGGAGTTACATAAGGTTGTTTGCTACCATGCGGCTGCTGGGAACCGAACCTAGGTCCTCTGGAAGAGTAACAAATGCTCTTCCCCACTAAGCACTCTAGCCCCAGAACTGTAATAATCTTAAAAACTATGTTGCTTTTCCATTTTGTTCAGCCCTCACAGGATGAGGAAGACAAGCCGAAGTTACCTTTCGCATCTGAGTCCACAGTCCTTCAAACTCCTTCAGGTTCAGCGTGCTTCCACTGTAGGACGCACAGCTGTTTGCAGCTTTCCCCAGCCAATAAATGGTCACTAACACCTACGGAAGAAAACCATGCATCAGGGTGGGAGGATTTGTCCTGCAGGGTGACATTTCAACTTGGGAAGCAGTAACACTCCAGGAACAGCAAGGCAGGAAGGAACAACTCAGCAGCAGTGACTTGTGAAAACCAGTGCAAGAGGCACCCATTAATTTGAGATCGAGGTAATGGGAACCCAATGCTGTCTCAGCTGACCCGACACACGGTTCAGTCAAGTAAGTCTCCAGCTCTAGGAAAAAGGAGGCTGTGAGAAAGTGATCTTTGAGTGAGCAAGAAGGGGAAATAAATCCTCCAAAATGACATTCTCATCAGACAGCATTTCCCCACAAACTCTTTGGACAGACCAGCAATGCAGGAGACTGTCAGCTCCATTTGAGATGGGTGTTCTCGAAGCCCTTAATTTCCACTTGTGTGCACAGAGAGCCTCCTGGAATGGATGGCAAAAATCCCAAAGGAGCCATAAAGGTTACTGAGTGTTCCACAGCACAGGATCAGCACAGTTCATCTGAGTGAAGTCAGAAGACAGCAATGCCCAGAGAACGGGGCCTGCAAGTCTCCTGCATCAGAGCGTAGCCACATCCCCATTAATCTGAGATGGGAAAATTTTAGCCCTGACACAGTTGCTATCAATTAAACAAACTTGGCTGCTGAAGAATGTGCATGAATATCCAATGGTCTGAAGTTACTATCCTACATTACTTTTGTGCTGTCTCTCCAAAGAACTGTCCACAAAAGCACAAATGTTCTTTACTTTGAGTTGGAAAAAAAAGGAGGTTGGCTGAAGATGTGCTCCTTAGCTGAATTATATGGATCAGAAGCCCATAGAAAAATCTTCGACTTTATGCTCACATTCTGTCTTATTGCTTCATCTATGCCAGGAAGGACTTATTGTACTACCTTCCCCATGGTGGGCCAGGAAGTGCTCTGGATAATGGGACTTAGGCATATGGGTCCAGCTGGCCGTGGCCCAAAGTATAGCTTTGTGTGTGAGTCCTATGATACGGTTCAGTTTTCTACCTCTTACACTATGAATCCTTCAAAACTTCCAGAAGGTCTTTTATTAACTGAGTTCGTACAAATAAATTCCCAGAGAACAGACAATCCTGAATGTAAGGACATTAACTAGAACCATAACATAACTAATGTGTGCTGACTACAATCTGGGCCACAAATGGAAATGGCTAATGTTAATGTTGAAACCAATCACTGTTTTAAGAAAATGAACCACACACAGAATACAAGGTTTTATTTGTTTATTTCTAGATTGAATTCTGATTAGAGTGAAACCTTCAAATTTACGATTTTTAGTTTTAGCCCAGTTATTAACTATTCTATGGGAGAGGCATATGTTTTTTCCTAAGAAAGAATCTTTCTAATAAGGCCTATCAGATGCACTGCATTTAGCTAAACATCAACCTTGGACCATTAAAGTCAAAAGTATACAAACTTGAAAAGAGATGTTAAAACACTTACGTTTTTCAGCTTCCGGCTATAATCAAGGTTCCTACATCAGGAAAGAAAAACAAAACATTATTAGAATAGCAGTTTCTTCAGTGTGGTCTTTCCTTAAACACTTGCAAAAAGCACAAAACAAAATCAGAATATTGACGGCTTCTTAAGGCCCATGACTGATTGCTTCAGTTATAGGATAAAATTGTTGAGGGGAAAAAACAAAACAAAGAAAACAAAACAAACAAACAAAAACCATTAGGAGGACCAGATAGGATTAAGGTTTTGCAGGATGCCAGGAAAGGTAAACATTTTTTTAACATATGAAAGTCGAGAATTCTGTTTCAAACTGGGTGTTTATATTTGAATTTACAAAGTTTGACTGTTGAAGATTCTGTCTTAAAGGAAATTTGATCACATCTCCCAAGTGTTCTTCATGCAAGTAGATTTAGTACAGGTCTGAAAACTTAGTGAAATAGACTTGAAAATACATGTATAAGAAGCAGTACTATCCAACTGAGTCTCCCATCCCTCTGCTACAAATCAGAATGAAAAATTGGCCATACACAGGAAAATATGCATACTATTTTCAAATTTATTCACGTGTCTTCAAAAACACACATAACGTTTATTCCCTATCTAAAGCCCACCAACACTCTGACTATTCACACCATGGTGTGTCAAAATGTTTCCAAAGGTATCTGAAAGCTCCATGAACATATCTAAAAGTAAGTATGTACTAGGAAAATGAAAGCTGGATTTCTTTTCTCTGGTCACTTTAGTGAGGTGTGGGGAGTAGAAATCCCATTGTATAAACTACCTAAGAACGCCTCAAAGCATTTAGACCACGATTACTTGCTTCTAGCCAAATGGCATGCTATTCTCGGCTTAAACATCTATGAAGATTTTTTTTCCATTTAACAACAGAAAGATGAAATAATCCAAGGAAGATCTAAAATGTCTTAGAAAAACAAAGGTAGGGAAAATGACCCTTCTCCTGAATTGACAATAAAAGTTCACCGACTGAAACTGTGACTGGGTGCTAAAAAATTATATGTGGCACACAGTAGGACCTCACAAAATATTTGTAGAGGGATTTCCTCAAAATCACCAATTACTTGGAAATACTTCCAAGTTTTAGAGAGACTTCCTTCTCCAGAAGCCAGCCACAGCCTCTCCACACATCCATGCGGCTGTGTTGATTCCCCGAAAGGTCTGTGTCGGGTGCCGGTAAAGAAAAATTACCTATACTTAAAACTAGAGTGTTTTTTTTAAGACAATTTTAGAAAATACAAATTTCCTCCATGAAATGTATCCCTTGTCCTGTATCTCCTTGCTGATGCTACTAACTCTTGTCGAAATGATGCTCTCCCTCACTGCTGTTAGCTGCTCAACTCTCAGAAAGGAAACTGGAGAGTAACAGCAGTACTTGAACCTATCCGAGCTATAAAATCAGCACTTTAAAAGATAGTCCCGAACTAGAGCCAAAAAACAGACTCAACTATGAAAACATTGTGAAGCTAGTAGCTTACTCTATGCTCCTCTCCTACACTCCTACATGCAGAAGCAAAGCCTTTAAGCTCCAAATTACTTTGTAACACAATTTTAGTATAAATTCTTTATGGGTTTTGTTGTTATTGCTGTTGTTTGCAACAGGATTGCCCTTATGTAGGCCTAGTTTGTTTAGTTTTGCATTATGTAAACCAGGCTGGCCTTAGTTTTACAGAGATTCTCCTGCCTCTGCTTCCTAAGTGTTGTGATTACAGGAAATGGCACCTACCTTACTTTTATATACTTTTTAAAAAGATTTATTTTTAAATGATATGCATACATGTATATCAGTGTATGGGCATGTGCACACGAACGTAGGTGTCCATGGAGGCTAGAAGAGAGATCCAGGCGCTCTGGAACTGGAATTATAGGAGGTCGTAAGTTGAGGTCGTCAGTTGCACACTGATATGGGTGCTGGGAACTGAACTGGGTCCTCTGTAAGAGTAGTGCTACCCTCTCTTAACCACTGTTCCATCTCTCCAAACCCAGGAGAAAATCCAGGTTCTGGTTCAACCATACTCATGCAACATACTGTTTGAATAAAATGACAAATGCTTTATATGACGTTACGGGCTCTGCAGAATCCTTGAACCTACATGCAACTTATTTTTGCCATCTCATAAAGATGGATTTCTTACTCTGCTCACGAGCTATCTCTATACAGAAATTCATCCTATTGCAAAAATTCTTTGGCCCCATATATGGTTCACTAAATAGATATAGGTAGAAATGGCCAAAAGCCGATGATCCATCTCTGAAAAAGCTTAATCACTGTCACAGATGAGAAAATGGCTACAAGTATAAACGAAGGAGCCAGCTCACCCCCATCAGATACCTTTCCCCCATCACCAACAGCTCTCAATCTGTTTGAGTGCAGTCTGCCAAGAGCCTATTCAACTGTCCCACCGGGCCCAATAAAAGGGTTGCTATAAAAGGCACACAGATTTTGTGCATATTTCTCTGTAGCCTTGCTGCTAAACTCCACTTAACATTTCCTCTTCTTCGAAATTCTGGTTCTATATGCATTTGAAAAGTTTACATTATCTCAGGATCAAAGCTCCACACAGAGGACTGGACACTGTGTCCTGTTGCGGAAGCTTGATTGTCGCTTGTGCATTTTTTAAATTAGGTATATGTAATCTTCTACCTCTTAAAACTTACAACATCCTCACACAAGTGCAAATCCAAACATCAAGGGTTTCCTTTACACATCAATCAGGCATTATTACTCACTTGACAGTGACCCTGCTGGACGTATCCTGGAGGTCACTTGGGTCAAAGAGTTGAGATTCTTTAAGGCCAAGCTCTTTACAGCCTCTCAAGAATAAGATGGTGTTGTCCTGGAAGGAAGAAAAGAAGCCCACGTGTTACTTTAGATTATCTTTGTGACAGAAGCACTTCATTAGTAGTCCAAATTGCTGTCAAGATGCCAGCCATTGTGGCTGCTAAAGTCACATCTAATCGTCATGTGTCACACAACAATATAATTAGAGCAGGGGGAATGGCTTAGTTGTTGGGTGTTTGCTGAGTAAGCATGAGGACCTGAGTTCAGATCCCCAGCACCCAAGGGGAAAAAAAAAAAACAGGCATGACAGAATATGCCTGAAATCCAAGCACTGGGAACCTGGAGGGGGAAGGATTCCTGGAGCTTCCAGGTTTAACAAGAGGTCTTGTCTCAAAAAAGTAAGGTGGACAGCTGTGTTGGTTTGAATGAGAATGGACCCATATATTGCAGGTTAGTCCCCAGTAGTGGAACTGTTTGGGCAGGGGTGGGCGGGGTGATCTTGCTGGAGAAGGCATGTCACCGAGGGGGTGGGGGTGGGGGGGGTGGAGTCATGAGGCTTCAAAAGGCTCCCTCCATTCCCAGTGGGCTTTCTCTGCCTATGGGTCAAGGTGTGAGCTCTCAGTTGCTCCTACTGCCTTCTTTTTGCATTGCCATCATGACTCTAACCTTTGGAAACCATAAGCCGAATTGAACACTTTCTCTTGAAGTGTTGTTGGTTGTGCATTTTATAACAACTATAGACAAGTAACTAATGAACAGCGATAGAGGAAGATGTATAACATTGACCTCTGGTCTCCAAACACATGTGTCCACATGTGCACATGCATTGCACGTATACATGTACACACAAATATGTGGCACACACGAAATATAAGACATTGTGAAAAGATATATAATCTGAAGATAATAAAGGGTTTTGTTGCCTAAGGTGTTCTCATCCTCAAGTTTTTCTAATTAACTGATTTAAATATATCCTTTGCAATTTTTTACACCCTTCATAATTCATTGTGGGCTTTGACTAAAAATACCTTTTTAATGGATGCAAGATGAACTAAAAGATAAAAACAATCTCGTCCCCTCTTCTGTGTCACATTTACTCCATTCCTCTCTCTTGAGTATTGGGGGGGGGGGAGAAACGGCAGGCACAGGGGCGTGGGAGAAGAGCGGAGGCCAACGCGCAAGATACAATGTTATACGTGAAGATGTCATGATGAAACCCAGGGCATTGTTTGCTAAAAATTAACTTAAAAAATCTAGACTCAGTTGGGAAGACTTCTGAAAAAGTGTAAACACCCTTCTCCTCATGGTGAACATTCCCTGGCAAGCACAGATTGACTGTGAACAGTAGAGGAGCAGGACTGACTGACAGTTATACTCTAAGTCAAGGAGGGTTCCGTCTGGGCCGCCCTCCCATCTATGGGAAGTCCTAGGAATAAATGAATGGTTCTGAAAGTGAATGCAAATTGTGGATCACCCTTTGAAGACCCCAGGACAACTGGCCAACAAATTTATTGCTAGGAATCTCTAACTGTCCTCTTCTTGAGAGAGTTCCAAAGATGTAGATTGACTCCATCAATTTGCAAAAACTACAGGAGTATCAGTTCCAGGAGTCACATCGATGAGAAACGCCCTGAATGCTGATAGAAACTGCAGTAAGCAACTGAACTCACGATGGTGATTACTCAGTTCATCCAAGGTAGTTCAAAGGGATCGGCAAAGATAGTATTTTTAATTACCCAGCGTGTAGGCAGGATCCTCAAGCCCCCAAGAATTCTGCCTCCAGATGTACACACCCTAGGTAACCTCCCCTTGAGAACAAGTGAAAAACCATGACTGTAATAACGTCATGGCACTGAACAATTGCCTCTAAGTTAACCAAGAGAAAGATTATCTGATTGGCATTGATTTAGCTAGGGAGCTTTTACAGAAGGTGATAGAAGAGTTCCCTGAACACCACAGCTGCTAAGGGTTGAATTCAGTTAACTTGGGATGGGCTCCTGGTCAGCCTTGCAGACATCTTGATTTCAGCTCTATGATATTCTGAGAAAACAGCCCTGGCTCGCCCTCTCTGGATATCTAATCTATAGACAATGTGAGGTAATGTATGGGTATCACTATAAGATGTTAGTTTATGGTAACTTTAATGTGGCAATAAAAATTAACCCTGTTAATTCCCCCACACCTTACTCTCAACTGACAGATGAGTGAGCAATCTGCAGTCTAGAACAATTATGCAATGATCCAAAGTTATAATCAGCAAAAGAAGCAGGTAGCAAAACAGTGTGGTATGCCTGATGAATCCAAGCATGGAACTCGAGGTCAGTACCAAAGGACAGTGGTGCTGTGGAGGGTGGGACTGATCTCAGAGGGTTTACAGATGCAGAAAGCAGGCTGCAGGAGGCAGGGACAGGTGAGACACAGAACTGTCACTCCTCATACCGAATTAACCAGCTAAGCCTGCATCCCAGCTAACTCATCACAAAGATGGGATGGGGATTCCCCAGAGGTAAAAATGATAAGCCCCCAAAGTTGCAATTCTTGTTCCCACTTGTCCAGTTTCTAGTTGTTTAGGCTTATTCATCTATACCGAAGTTCCCACCCTCCTCCTCCTCTCCATCTTTCCCTCTTTGTCTCTATACCTCCTTCCCCTTCAAAGTTTTTTCTCTTTCCTGTCTGCCTCCCACCAGAACACAAATATGTTCTCTCATCCCTCTCTCCCTCCCTCCCACCTTCCCTCCCTCTCTCTCTCCCTCTCTCCCACTCTTCCCTCTCTCCCTCTCTTCCCTCTCATCTCTCTCCTCTCTCTGTCACTGTCTCTCTCCCATTCTTTTTGGCTCTGAAGCTCTTCAAAGATCCCACATGCTCTGAGGCTGCCATGGAGGTCCATATTTCAGAGGGGTAAACACACCCTTTACCGAAGACAACAACTCCAAACAAGATAGTGGCCAGTACAGATGCCGGGTGGGCTTCAGTGGGCATTTGAGTGTCTTTTGGAATCCAAGTGACTGCCTCTCAGGAAAATGTGGAAGTGAGCGCGTGCTCTCTAGGAGTCACCAGTGACCACGATAAAGGACAGGCCCCTGACCTCCAGGCAGGCCCCTAGGACTACAGCACCCTGGATCGTGAGTACAAACAAGGGGGTATTCTCCCTATGCACAGTCCCAGGTGCACACGTGCACCCTGGAACACGGCACGCCATTCAGCACACAGCCTACAAACATACAAGCTCTGTACGGCAGCCAGCAGGGACAATTTGGGTTGGGAGATTTAAATAACTGCAGGTCTGTTTCCAACTCCTAGCTGTAACCTAATGATTCTGGAGAAGAGCCAAGCCCTAGTCAGAGGCAAAGCCAGAAGCAAGAGCCACCGGGCCAAGAGCTAACAGAGGCCAGCCACCGGAGCAGGCAAGAACCTCGTTCTTAATTACAAAGGACACATCCCGTACTTTTTCATCTGCCATCTCTGCGCACTGAGATGTCTCTACATTTACAACTTCAAGCAAAGCCCTCATCTTAGTAGCTCAGGCTCAGGGCTTAACCATTTAACAGTGTCTCAAGTGAGAGAAGTGAGAGACTTGGATTTACTACATTGACTATTTATTATATGTAGTTCTCACTTACACATAGCTGATGATTCCATTTAATAATCTTTTGGGGAGCTTTCTAGGGACTTGAAAAAAATCATTGTTACAAAAAATACAAACAAACAAAAAATCCACCCTGGTAATTAAAGACATATGCTGACCAAATGTATGAGCCTTAACTGGACTCTAGATTCTAGAAGGAAAAGTAAATAAGGCTATGCCGTTGACTGTGTGCAGACTATTGAATAAATTATGGATTGGGCATTAACTTTCCGAGCTGTGGTGATGGTAATGTAGTGAAGTGAGTGAACATCTTTTTTTAAGTACACATCTGGATTACTTAAGGGTGTGTTACAACTGTAACACAACTTTTGAATGGTTCGGTTAAAACTGTGTGTGCATGTCTGTGTACATCCATGTATCTTCACATGTGGGAAGAGGAAAGCCACAAAGCAAAAGACAGGAACGAAGAGGAGGGAGGGGTGAGGAGACTATACAGATGTTTTTCTGCATTTAGAGAGAGGAATATGCAAACAGCAAAATATTAAGAATTGGTGAGTACAGAGACTGAACCAACAACCAGGAAGCCTGCATGGGACTGAGCTAGGTCCCCTGCACGTGTGTGACAGTTGTGTAGCTAGGTCCCCTGCACGTGTGTGACAGTTGTGTAGCTTGGTCTTCTTGTGGGAATCCTAACAGTGGGAGTGGGTGCTGTCTTTGACTCTGTTGCCTGCTTTTGTGACCTTTTCACTTATTGGGTTGCCTCATCCAGACTTAATATGGGAGAAAGTGCCTGGTGTTATGCAACTTGATACTCCATGACTGGCTGATATACATGGGTACCCTGTCCTTTTCTGAAGAGAAACTAAGGAGGAGGAATGGACAGGGGAGAAGAAGGGAGGTGGGGGGCACTGGGAGGAGAGGATGGAGAGGAAACTGCAGCCCAGGTTGTGGGGGAGTATTGAAACCTGGTGCAAGGGAAACTTCCGGTAATCTACAAGAATGACCCCAGCTAAAATTCCTAGCAATTGCAAATATGTAGCCTGAACTGGTCATATCTTGTAACCAGACAAGAGTTCCAGTAGAGGGAATGGAACATCAACCCTGCCATATAACCTTTGACTTACAGTCTGACCTGGCTATGGAATGTTCAGGAAAGGCTGGTAAAGGATATGGGTGGCACGGAGATTTTGAGAGTGGCCAACCAATTACTGGTTCAGCCTGAGACCCATGTCATAAAAGTAAGCCCACCGCTGATACTTCCTGGAGTACCAGGATCCAAAGGCTGGATGGCCCAGAGACCTAGGATAGAACAAACACAACTGGAGGGGGAAAAAGTCAATGTAATGATGTCTAACAGTATTCTGCTGTACTCATAGATTGGTTCCTAATAGTCATCAGAGAGGCTTCATCTAAGCAACTGATGGAAACAAACACAGATCCATAGTCAAACATTACGTCAGGCTAGAGAA